TCGTGTTCAGGAGCATGTCCTGCCTGCTGCTGCTGAGCCCTATGAGGACCAATGTGTCCCTGAGGTCTGCAAGCCTGACCTTCAGGAACAGACAGAGAACTAGGGTGGACCCAAAGCCAGCACGCATCCCATCAGAATTGTGCCGCCTGCTCTTCTTGGGAAGGCAGGTTTAAGGAATGTGTTTTCCAGTGTGCACTTCCGTCCAGAAACCAACCAATTGTGTTTTCCCAGCCAGACCTGGTAGCATTTGAGAAGATCGTCATGACGTCAGGGCTCATATGAGCTACCTAAGGAGCTACCTAAGGAGCAGGGTGAGATTGTACCAAACACATACACAAAATGCTAATAATTTTTTAAATTCAAGCTTTTTTAAAGTTTCTATGTTAAACAATGATGTCAGCTTTGGTGCACGGCTTGGAGGTGGCTTAGACCTGCAGATACCAAGCAACCTTCAGCTTAGGAAAGGTTTCTTTGTTGACTTTAAGATTTCATCGTGTTAGCCGTGCATGGTAGCACATACCTATCATCCCAGCACTCAGGGAGGCAGAGGCAGGTGGATCTCTTGAGTTTGAGGCCAGCCTGGTCTACAAAGCGAGTCCAGGACAGCCAGGGCTACACAGAGAAACCCTGTCTCAAACACACAGACAAACAAACAAACAAATAAACAAAAACCAAAAAAGTTCATAGTGTGTGTATTTGTCTGATTGTTATTCTATATGTAGGTTTAAGTCAAATTCCAGATTTAGTCAGTGCCACGCGTGTTCTAAAGAGGTGGTGCTGTTGCCAAAGCACCCAAGTTTATCGGCGTGGACTCTGCTGCAGTACTACGAGCAGATAAATCCAGAAGTCCTGATGCTTTAGTATGCTAAAAGGTTATTTCCCAGTTGTGAAAGTCTGATATGGGGTGAGAAATGTTTCTTTATGTATAAATGCTGGCATCTGGAACACACAGCCAGAGAAATTAAACTTTGGTGACTTAGGTGGTTGGTTGGGGTTGAGGGAGGGAAGGAGGGTCAGGTCAAACCTGGAGGACAGTTATGTCCCTTCTGTCCACACCCTTTGCCTAGAACTCTGTCATAAGGGGCCAGCAAACACGGACACACAGGAATAGACAAGAACAATCAGTTCTGCCTTCCCCCATCTGCCCTGAGCTGATGGCGCCTTTTACTTCAGATTCCATCTGAGGATGAGACCATTTTCCCAGGGTTCCCTTTTCAGAGCCAATGGGGTCTCTCTGGGGCTTGCTTTTTTCTGGTGCTGGGCTAAGAATGGCCTGTGGAGAAATGTAAACAGAGACAATTCTAATGCTCTGAAAAAGTAAAATATAGTCAAGATATGGTTCCACGATCCCCTTGTTGACACAGAGCTGAAAGGAATATACAAAATGTCACCCTACCTTTTACACAGTGGCTCTCTTTTACAACAGAAAGTTTGACTTGCTCTCCTTTTTCTAAGTCTCAGATGTCTGGGACCAGTAGTTGTTGAAACAATGAGTTGCCTATGAGAACATGCTTCCTGCTTATTTACCAGTGTGGTGTGTCAGTGGAAGAGCTTGATAAGTTGAATGTTGCACACTGACTGTCAGGAATCACACCACAGCAAGAATTATAGCATGGCAATTGTAGGTAAACTTTCTTTGGTGATTCAGGTCACCCCAGAATTCACATTAGTTGTTGATACTGCTGCAGATGCACTTTGTAGCGTTACGCAGTAGTTTCTCATATTTTATTTAATCTTTATAATTCCGTGTGGTGGGAGTTATCATCCATACGTGTTGAGTGAAGAAATAATGAAGGGGATAATTGAGGCCGGGGTGAGGGCTCAGCGGGGAAGAGCACTTGCTCCCTGAGTGAGAGGACTGAGGACATGAAATGGGATCTTTGGCAGTTACGTACACAGCTGGGCATGGCAGTGAGCGTCGGCAGTCCCAGCACTGGGAAGCAGAGGCAGGCAAGTCCCGTCATGCTTGGATGTGTGCACACACACATACATACATGCAGACACCATAGATACTACGTGTGTGTACACACACATACACACGGGTACATAGCACAGATACTTTATGTGACACACACACACACACACACACACACACACACACACACACACACACGCTTTGTCCAACACAGAGGCTTGAGAGTGGAGGGCTAGAATCGCACCGCCTGTCTCTACACGGAGGAAATGCATGTCTACTTGAAAAGAAAGTGTGAAACTTTTCATTTTACACTTCTTTCTCCTCAGGAAGAGAAAACAAAATTGTGGCAGACTTTCCTGAGCATGCGTGAGTTGGGACTGAAAGGGCACTTTTCCCCCTGCCTCCCACCCCCAACTGCAGCGCACTGCCGTGTTGCAAGGAAACATAACCACTATCACTTGACAATATCAAGTCATATCTTAACAGATATGAGATGACATGTAAAAGCAATTGTACTGGCTCGTCACTGTCTTTTCCTCAGTGAACTTCCCAGCTTGGTTTAGCTGGTATGTGGGTTTCTGCCCACTGTGATCCTCAAACAGTTCATTGGCTGTGCAAAAAGTGAATTCATCCGACAGGCTTTAATCTGCCCTTCACTGAGATTTAATTTCCTGATGTAGATGCATCTCAGTTACCTAGTATCTGCTCTGGCGTTGGTAGCCTGGCAACAAAATAGAATGTCACCTACTCCCTTCCCCTTCCCTGCAGTGCTCAGGGGCAGAAGGGCACAGGGAGGTGTTAATCATTTACTCCGGTGGGTTTGCAAGCCTGCAGCGGACCTGGCCACCATCCTCTGGAGTTGGTTGCCTTTTCATCTACAGAGCACACAAATGATGTGCTTATCTGTGTGCCCGAACATACTGTGGCTTAATTACACATTTCTTGGTGAGCAGAAAGCAATTTGTAAAGCTGAACGATAATTACATTTAATCTAAATAATCAACTTAGCAGTGTGTTATGCTTTGAAAAAAAAAAAAAAAAAGATAGATAAGGTAAAGGGTGATAGAGCCGGAACCCGATGTCCTCTCCTGGACTCCACATGCACAGATGGGCATGCAGATGTACACGACACACACATGCACACACGCACAGATAGAGAGAGAGAGAGATTAGGGGACAGTGCTTATCGGAGGTGATGAAGCTGAGCTCTGGGTTCGGGTCTGCTAGGACCTTTCCTTTTCACTACACTGTAAGGCACACTAAAGAACTAGAGGGCTGAAGAAGACTGAGCTGATCCACAGGACAGGTGGAGGCTAGGCAAGGAATGGACAGCAGGGGATGGGGGCAGGGGTGTGGATTCGGGGAGGGAGGCACATCATTGAGCTTCATTTCACTAATACCAGCAGTCCCTGTACTTTCACTGCTTACAACCTTGTTCTTTGCTGGGGTTCAGTGGGTCTGTCGCCTGCTAATGAAGGGCCCTGGGCTAGAGGAAAGGGGGTCAGCTGGTGGGGTTGAAGAGCCTCCAAGAGAGCTTTTTCTGCTGGAGGAGGGGCAGTGCTGAGTCTGGGTTCTGAAGCTGTGGCATTCAAGGGACGGACAATGTATAACTGATCCCAGGCTGGGTGCAGTCCAGCCTTTCCTCTCTCCTTCCACAGGTCCCTGCCTCAAATATCTATGTCACTTCTTGGAGGCGAACTCACTGAGTAATTCAAGCTCCCTAGATGAAGTTCAAGGCGGGAGGGTTGAGAGTTCAAGACCAGCCTAGGGATTTGCTGTCCTAAACTATAAACTCAACTCGCAAATGGTACCAAATGCGTGGCTTCAACACAACTGGAGGAAACCCTCACAGAGCTCGGTCTCAGGTAAGGGCACCCAGGTGGGAAAGTGCCCATCTCTGTCTGACTTCAAAGTCTCCTTTCCCTGTTAACCTGACTTCTACACTGTGGCTCCGTTCTCTGTCTTCTCTTTCCCACGCCGTGAGGCTTTCAGTTCTATCGTCACACAGTGTTTTATCATCTTTCACCTTCAACTATTACCATGGCTTCTAAGAGGATTCCTGGCCAGGAGATTCCATTCTAGTCCATTTCTTACAGAGAAGGATTGTGTCACCTTCCTGATTAGCCCTTCTGCTACATCCCCACAAACAGAAACCACGCTCCTTGGGCAGGGTGAGAAGAACTTCATGGTGAAGCTCCCTGTTTTCCTTTTGCACTGCACTCTACTGCACTAGTTAAATGGATACAGCATCCTCTCACATTATAGAAGAGAGCTTCTACACCTTCACTGTTGTAGTAGTTTGAACGAGAATGGCTCCCATAGGCTCTTTTGTTTGAATAACCAGGTCCCTAAGTGGTGGAACTGTTTGTGAAGGATTAGAAGGTGTGGCTCTGTGGGGGGAGGTATGCTACCTTACAGTTGTGTCTTAAGAGGTGAGCTCTCAGTCACTGCTCCAGGGCCATGGTCCCTCCATGGTGCTCATGGACTCTAACCCTCTGAAACGGTGAGCCCCAAATTAAACACACTCTTTTAATAAGTGGCCTTGGACATGGCATTTTATCACAGCAATAGAAAAGGCACAATGCAGCCATGACAAGGGTGCATTTTCAATGTCCTTCATCAGGTAAAGAAGGTCTTCCTTGTAGCTGCTAAGAAGGTGTTTCTGTCCTGAATGTTGTGTTTTAGCAAGTGTTTCCTGTACCTGTCACGATTACAATTTCTCTGTCTGGTCAATCTCTGGTTCAGTTTTCCACTGTTAAGTCAATCTTCTTTTCCTGTATAAATCTACACAGATCTTCATGAGTTGACCTTTTGAAAAGAAACTTCTGGATTCAGTTGGTGAGAACTGTGTTTAGAGCACCATCTTGGGGGAAGCTTTCCTTTGGCAGAGGTGACCAAAAGCAACGTGATGGGAAGAAACTATGCTTGATTTCTGCTTCTCCCTGGGATTAGGGGTTTCTGCATGACCAGGATTGGGGAGCAGCAGTGTGATACCACTATAGGAAAATATAGATGTCCTTATTCAAAAAGTCCGCACTTTGCACACAGTTCAATAATTCAGAATGAGACTGAAATAAATCTGCCAGGATTTAATTGCTTTAACACTAATGAGATGAAAACCCACGCTTACAAATAATCCTATATCTGGCCAGTTTGCTATCTCACCTTACATAAAACACAGTCAATAAGGAGGGAGGGAAGTCCGCCAGAATCCCCAGGAACCACCTGCGAGAATCTCGGCCATCTCAGATCCAGGTCGACACCTTCTCTGTGTCCTTGGACAGGCCAAGGCTGAAGAGGATGCTCTTCTCAAGGTCCAGGTAGTTCTCGAACTCCAGCCTCAGCTCCGCCTCCATCACCTCTCTTGTCTTCTGATAGACTTTCTAGGTGGGAACAAGCAAGAAGCTCCATAAGCCACAGGCAGCTTGAGAGGAATCCAAAGAGGAATGAGGAGGAGCTGACCTGGGTGCTGTCTAGCACGGTCTTGTGCCTGGGTAGGAGGACAGATGGACAGGACAGCAGTGTGATGTGCTAGAGAAGTGGGGAGTGGGGAAAAGCCTGCCCTTCATGGCTTTTCTGTAAACTAGTGGTTCTCAACCTTCCTAAAACTATGACCCTTTAATACAGCTCTTTGTTGTGTGGTGACTCCCAGCCATAAAATTATTTTTGTTACTACTTTATAGCTAATTTTGCTGTGGTATGAGTCATGATGTAAATATCTGTGTTTTCTGAGGGTCTTAAGTGACCCCTGCGAAAGGGTCATTCTATATTCCCTTCTCCCGACCCCTACAGCCCCACAGGTTGAAAAGCACTGCTACAGATCAGCGAGGAAACCGTTCCTGTGGCCTTTCCCGTGCATGCTGCCTTCCATATGTGGCCTGGAGGGGAGGTGGCTGACTTGCAGAGCTGCTTTGTCCTTAGAGTTGTAGCAACTGTGGACAAGCCACTGCATGACAGTGTCTCTCACCACAGTGCTCAAACCAGTGTTTGTAAGGCCTCAGCCAGTTTGTTTGCTGCAGTGGGACCAGATGGACAGTTAATTCCTTGGGATTGCTGCATACTTTGTCTCCATCAAGGGCAGCTTTTGAAATGAGCCCTCTGCTGTGATAGTGAGCTCGTGTCTATCAGTGAGTGACCTGCGCAGAACATATTGGTGTTTTTCCTGGAGAACCGGGCTCTCACTTGGAAAGTTACTTTGGAGGATGCTATGTGCCTGGCTGTGAAGAGCCCACAGGTGGGGTCAGTTAGAAAACTGGTGACAAAGAAGCAAGGGAGGAGACAAGCCAGCAGGAAACAGAAATACGAACCGGAGCGACTCAGGTGAGAATGCAAGAACAATTTACAGAGTTCTAGTACATGACAGAAAACCGACAGACAGACAGAGTCGGAGAAACAGGAGAGTGAGGCCTGCAGAACATCACGTTCCTCTGTTGGCTGAGTGTGAGATGTGAGTTCCCCGCTTCTCTGTCTGAGGGCTCACAGCATTACCCACACCTCTCCCTCTCATCTGCTCGCTGCTATAGTTAGTGTGGCCACCTTCTGAGGACAGGTGATCGCATTATTTAGCCGAAAGCCTTCCAGCAATCTCCAGAGGTAGCTGTTCACACTTGATAGCTGTTGGTGTTCCCATTTCCCAGATAAGACAACCAAAGTTCAGCAAAGACAGGAGCCTTGCTCCAGATCCATGGGACTTCACTCCACATCTTGGCTTCCGTATTTGGTCCTTTTTGTATGGCCCCTTTCAAAGCATCATTCACCAGGCATGAAAACTCCATGTAGCGAATGTGTTCATCTGTGAATCTTTGCATCTACACTCAAGGACTTTGGAATTATAGTGAATCAGAGAAAGATGACTTGGACAGGATCTCGCTGTGTGACAGGGCTGGTGAGATGGCTCAGTGGGTACGGTGCCCGCTGCCAAGCCCGATGACCTGAGTTCCTTCCCTGGGACTTAGAGATAGAAGGAGAACACTGACCACTCATGAATTACTCCATATGTGAGCTGTATAGAGCCTTGCCGCCTGGAATACACCGATGTGCAATAAACAGACACAAATGGCATAGGATCTCACTACTTGTGTAGTGGGCAGCTCTCACCCACAGTGATCTAGGAAATCAAAGAAATGCTTCTTGATGCCCACAGCATAAGGCCATGGAGCATGCAGATGAGCCCAGAGACACTACCCCGCTGGTGGGCGAGGAAGGCAACCCTCGTTGCTGAAATTTCACTCACGGCTTTTTTCCTCGCCAGTTCTAGGGCCATGTCAGTCTTTTCTTGCTCACGGATAGTCTTGCGCTGCTGGACGTACTCCAGATGCTTGACTTCTCTTTCAAAGTAGTAGTTCACACTTGATACCTGTCAGAAACAAAGCCAGCGATGAGCCCACCCCACAGGGACACAAGTGGTCTTTACAAGGCTTGGTGAGAATGCCTGCCACTCTGTAGTTGGGATTTTCCCACCTCATCTCCCAGCTCTAGCTGATCTCAACCTCAGAACGGCCTTCTTAACCGAGAGGCAGAAGAATCATGATTGAATGCCTCTCTTCCTTTAGACTAGAGGTTCTCAGTTGAGACCCTTGAATACAGTTACTCATGCTGTGACCATGAAGTTATTTTCACTGTTACTTCCTAACTGTAATTTTGCTCCTGTTATGAATCTCTGTCTTAGTTAGGGTTTGGGCTTCTGTTGCAGTAAAGAGACACTATGACCACTGCAACTCTTACAAAGAAAAACATTTGGTTGGGCTGGCTTACAGTTTAAAGGTTAGCCCATTGTCATCATGCTGGGAAACATGGTGGCACGCAGGCAGATGTGTAGTGAGAGAACGAGCTGACAGTTCTTGGCCCACAGGCAGCAGGAAGGAGACTGAGCCACACTAGGCCTCCAAACCCACTCCCCACAGCGACATGCTTCCTCCAACAAGACCACACCTCCTCATAGTGCCACTGCAGACAGATCAAGCATTGAAACATCTGAGGGTATGGGGGCTGTTCCTGTCCAAACCCCAACAACCGAAATGTAAATGTTTTGAAGATAGAGGTTTGCCAAAGGGGTCGTGACCCACAGTTTAGGTGAATACAGTCTGAAGGTTGGGCCTGCAGGCCAGAGACATGAGCTCTTCTGTGTTTACATTTAGGTCCCTGTGACTTGCAGGCTCCTAGAAAAGGAACACTTACAGTTGGAATGAGAGGGCTACAGAACCCCATAGTTTTTATAGTAGAAATATTTAGGAGCTTGCTTTCCCCCTTTCTTTCTTCTTACTCAGGAGACTGAGGTTGCATATCCTCAGCTGAACTTGGTAAATGCAGATGAAGAGACTTTGTATGTTTCTGCCTGTGAGTCAGGCATTTAATGGCTGAGCCATCTCTCTAGCCCTCTGTGGCAACTTTAAAGGGACAAGAAGCAATGCTGAATTCTAGATCCCTGGAGGGCTTGGTGTGCGGGTGTATGGACATTAGCAGAGAATCCATCAGAGATGACCTGGGGAAGGCAAGCTGGGCAAGCCGGCTGCCTGTCAGACCTAGGCTGGTGATAGGACTCATAATAAATAGATTGCAATCTGTATATTTAGTATTAGCTGTATATATACTTACCATTTTTTTAAATTGAGCCTTTTATACCCTCATCCTCAGCATTGCTTAAAACACTTGGAGGGGGTACAGGGTTGGAGGGGGCAAAGGATTGTCCGTTGAAATGCAGGCCAAGCAATATGCTGAAGCTGGGGAGGGTGTTGGAGAGACATGTAAATACATCAACAGAGTATTCGAGGGGGGATATCACTGATCGGACAGATCTAAACTCAGTTATAACTTGAAATGATGACCCTCTATGTCAGCCGTTCTTCCAGCCCGTGCTTCGTCCCATCCTGTGTTTGGTTATTTTTTGTAGCATCAAACTATTTAATTCATATGATAAAAATGTATTCTTTTGTTATTTAAAACATGTAAGCCTCTCATTCTCTTGTAAAACAAAAGTGCCAGCATTTTAAACACACTTTTAAGTTATTGCCCCAAAAGGCTGGCAAGATGCTTTGGCAGGTCAGGCTACTGTTGCCAAGTTTGAAGATCTGAGTTCAATCCCTGGTAACCAGTGGTAACAGAATCAACTCCTCAAAGACGCACCTTGACTTCCACCAGTGTGCCATGGCATTCACCCACCCCAACACCAATAAATAAGTTTAAATTTAAAAATAAGAAATGCCTCAGAAACATTAAACTTGCAAAGCCAAAACTTTACTAACCTCGTTAAAGGAAGGATGACTTAATGTCCAAGGAATTTCTAAGATATGCAGTGTCCCATAATAGTCAGCTATGGCTATAAACTGCTGCTTAGCTGAAAGATTAAAAAAAAAATTGGGGGGAAATTCAACAAACAGAAAGTCATCTGAAGAGGTGAAACTCAAAACCTGTTTTATTTTGTGGTTTCCCGGAGGACCTGCTGTGGTTGCCTCGCTCCTGGCAACTATCAGATGTTCATGACTGGACGGTATAAACATGGACAAGTCATTTTTTCCAGCTGATGAGATGAAAGTTAAACTCTGAGTCTTTGTCAGCCTCCCACCCCCTCAAGCCTCACTCTCCCGATGTCTATATGAGGAGAGAGGCTGACAGCCCCTCTTCTCCGTGGTCTTCAGGAAGCAGGGATGGCACACGGGAAGGTTCTGACCCAAGCACCACGGCACAGACACAGCACTGTGTAGATGAGGTTCCCTGACACAGCCCCAACCACAGTTTTCCCATGACAAAAATGTTGCTAAAAAAAAAAAAAAAAAAAAAAAAAAAAAGGAAGTGTGAGAATGTTCACTCTCCATGGCCTCCTGATGTTTCCCTCCTCTCGTTTTCAGGAGGTCTGGCTCAAACCGCTGAATCCTACACCCAGAACCTGCAGGTGCAAAGCCAGCGTTTTGTACCAGAGATAGGATAGCATACTTTGGTTGTGCCTCTTGCCTGAGGGGAAACCAGACGGAGACATTCTAGAGATTCTGAATCTGAGTCTCCAGGTGGGGTGTTTCTAAGAAAGAAATCATAGAGACAATCTTATGTCTATAGACTTGGAAACAAGGGGACCGTCTTCCAGCAAAGACATATACTGGAGTTACACAGGAAATACTAACTGTTCCAAACAGGAAAAAGCAAACAAACAAAAAACAAAGGAAATGAATTAGTTTTCTACAGAGACATCCTTGAATTTATGCTTGTTTGGTAGTATATTGCTACTGATTCATATTTAATCCAGGGACTGAGGCTTCAACAGGTATATAACCCTAGAGAACCATGTGATCCTGTGAAGAGAGTTGTTTGATGTGGCCTCATGTGAGAATCACTACAGAACATTAAAAATTTTGAAAAAGAAATAGAGTTCAACATTTCTGGAAGAGAAATGGACAGAAAGCAGCAGCAAAGGTTTAGGACCACTCTGCCAGGTTAAGACAGGATGGCTGCTTTCCACCCCTTGGTTCGAGATGGGCCTTAGCCTGGCCTTCTCAGAAGTCTGAGGATTGCTGGAGATGAGCTCGGACAGAGGGACACTTAGGGGCCTCCAGAGTTTGGGAGCAAGAGTGAAGGAAAGGATGGGAATATTTGTTGGAGAAGCAAAGGGAATAGTGGAGACAGAAGAGAGAGAAGGAAACAAAGGGGGCAGGAGGAGGGAAGAAAGGACAGGTACGAGGGAAACAAGGGAGGTTTTTCAGGCGATGCCAGAGTGTTCCTGGTGCAGCCAAACACTGTGGATTAGAATGAACATACAGGAAAAGGTCCAGGGTTTGATGTAGGTGATCATGGTGATGCAAATATTCTGGGACTGGGTTGGCTCGTGAGTTTTCTCCAGGAGGTCCCAGATATCGACATATCCATCCTCTCGGCCGATGTAGAAGACGCCAGGCCTTGTCAGCGACCAGTGCCCTGCCGTGTACCTTTTTGGTGCACAGCATGTTTGAAGAAGTGGTCCAGTCTAAATACAAGTTTAAAAGACACAGTGAAAGATTTTTTGTCTCCTGTGATTTAAGGGATATTCACAATGTTTTTTTTTTTTTTAAAGTACAGCTTAACTGACAATGATTATTTTCTTTTGTTGTAGGGTTTTGTTTTTATTTTTTTTAAAATGACACACACACACACACACAGACAGAGAGAGAGAGACTTCCACATGCTACAACAGCCATGTAGAAGTGAGAGGGGGAGGAGTTGGCTCTTTCTTTGCCCATTTACAGGTTCTGGGGGATCAAACATAGTTTATAAGGCTTACACAGTTTTACTCACTGAGCCATCTCGCCTGCAGTGCTGTGGGATTTACACAGGACAAGTTATTTTATCTTCCATTTATCTTTTAAATAACCTCTTTTTTTGGTTTGTTTTAGTTGCTTTCTAGGAAAGATTGAACCTTTCGGTTCAGCACCAGATAGTCCTGATAACCCTGGCCTTATTATTTCTATGAGGGTCTATCCACAGTAGGTACAGGAGAACAGGGCAAGGAAATTCCTCCTCTTCATCCGCTGTCAGAGATCTGCTACTCATGGCAACTGCCCTCCGAGGGAAGCACATGAAAAGTCTCTTGTAATGGTTTGAATATGTGCCCCCCACAGGCTCATGTGTTGAATGCTTGGTTCTCAGCTGGTGACACTATTTTTGGATGTTCTGGAAACTTCAGCTGTTGGGGGAGGGAGGAGGTCATGCCTTTGAAGGTTACACTGGGCCTGGGGCTGGCCCCCACTTCCTGTCCACCTTGAGCTACAAGGCCTCTCTGCCTGCTGCTGCTTCCAGGACGCTGGGTTTCAGCTTGGGACCAGAACCACACAGCAGTCGCCCAGAGCACACCTTCCCTCCCTGAAGTCATTGAAGTGCTTTTGTCACAGCTATGCAAAAGTCACCGAGGCGGCTGTCAGCCCCAGCTGTGTGCCGGAAGTTGGCAGCGCAGCCTGAGAACACCATATGTAACGTCAGGTGGCTATGGATATGTTTGGAAGAGATACTCAGCCTGCCAAAGCATAAGGAAATCATCTTTTTTTCATTTCCGCCATGAGATGATTTGCTACTTTGGGGAGTTGCTACAGATAATAAAAATTAGAAAATGCTTTCTCTCACTGACGTCTACCCATGGGAGACGTCCAAATGTCCCTTCTGTCTTCATTGACAAAAGCAAGGGCCTGGCGTTGACTTCTACCAGTCAACCTGTGCGTAGGCAACCTTGTGGGGGAAGAAGGAACCCAGGCCTGGCTGCTGACCCCCAACTCATGCCCTCCAAGCCCTTTGTGCCCGTTTTCTCATTTCCTCTAGTCTCTGGGGGATCCTGGCTCTTGGTTCCTGCCCGTCTTCTGGAAATCATGCTAGTTTTCTTTCTGATGACCACAAAACTTCCTCATTGGAAAAATAAATAACAAGAAAACAAAACCTACAGAGCAAATTGTTAGAAAATTTGTTGATGGAGATTTAAATAGCTTTCTGTTTTATTCAGTGGCACCAAGTATATAAATGTTGACACATTTCTTTTAAAAATTATTTGTACAAATTAAGGATCCAAAGGCAGTGTTATTTGGTGAAAGAATACGTATATTCCAGTTGTGACACACACATTCTCTCTGCTTCCTTCTCTCTCCCTCCCTCCAGTTTTTTCACAAGCTCATATATCTCTCACCAAAGGGGCATAGTAATTTAGGTTTCCCTCAGAAAAGAACTGGTTTGCCCTGCTCCCGCTTTACTGGATTTACTATTTTTTTTTTCCAGTATTTTTGTTTGTTAGTCTTGGCAGCCTGGCTCCTATCTGGCAGGACTGGACTTAATCCTGACCAAATCTCGTGCTCACATGTGCCTGTGCTCTGCCAACCCTGAGTCCTTGGTCTACAAAAGCCAACGTCCTAAAGCTGCCAACACCTTCCTGGTGCAGAAGAAAAGTGGACAGGCCCAGTGAGCCCTGGACTTCATCTGGTCACCAGAGTCCACCTTCCAGTTCTCAAGGAGCCGAAATTCAAGTCAGATGATGAACTGGCCATGGTAGATGTTTCCAAGAAAAAAACATGGCTAGGTTTCAGAGAACAAGGGCCTTGCTGTGTTGTTTACTTCCTCTCTCTGGAAAGAAAGGCTCATCATGGTCCTATTTTCAAAGGCTCCCACCGGTTCTGCTGACAAGCTGGAGCCAGACCATCTGTTCTCATTTCTCTATGAAGTGCCCCGGAGGCACGATATCCTGGGACATGGTTCCTATTGTCCTCCCCGGCCACAGAGACACTCCCACCTGCTCAGTTCAGGCAGGACTTACCATGACTTCTTCCTTCCAGATGGCCACGTTCCACCCCCCAACAGTGAGGACGATGTCGTTGTAGAAAGGCGACCTCTGAATAGTGTGGACGGCGCCGTCGTGGACAGTGTAGAGGTTCACAGGTTTCTTGGCTGTGGAAGTAAACAAGGCCAGGTTCGGGTGCACCATCTGTCATAGAAACGTGTCCTCAGGGTCGCTTTTCAGGCCCTCGGCCACACCATGTGCCCCTTAGTTCACCTGTTCATTACTCCGGTCTGGGAGTTGCTAATATTTGTGGGTTGCCTGTATGAGCAAAGGTCTTCATGTAGACAATGGCTAGCTAGTAATCCAGTGTGGGCCTGCCCTCAAGTGGCTCACAATCTAGTGGAAAGGAAAGATACCCTGGAAACAAATGCCTCAGTAAATAATTGAAACCCACCCATGTGCAGACCAAAGACAAACCATTACTAGCAAGAGTGGTGAGGATCACTTCTAGCTTAGACTGAATGGTCTGGGCAACGAATTATTTAGGTCTGAGATGTTTCCAAGTAGTTGAATTTGGGAAGTTTCTGGTATGGAGGAGCAGTGCAGACAGACGGACACACACACCGAAATCCTGGGAAGAGGACTAGCAGGTGCTTTTGTTCCCCATGGAAGCTGGAAGTACAGGCATGAGATGGGAGATGGCTGGGGTCTGGAAGGGTTAGACTCTGCAGGGCCCTGTAGTAAAAGAGTCCAGACCAAGGCCATAGAGTGATGTCTTTCTACGAGTCTAGTTCAAACCCACTGATGTTTCCCAAAGCACACTGGCTGTTATGGGAAGAACGGGGTTAGAGGCAGGTGGGTCAAGGTGGGGACCCCAGTAAGGACTCCTGTTAATCTGAGAGAGAGAGAGAGAGAGAGAGAGAGAGAGAGAGAGAGAGAGAGGTGACTTGAAGTAAGATGCAGGGAGAACACATTTGTGAACCAAGATATGGGGACAGCTTGGCCAGGCAGAGTGAGCAAGATGAAGTGCTAAGAACAGCCTGGTTTCTGACACGAGCAATGGGCTTGATGCAATTCCCTTTACTGCAGCTAAGAAAGGTAAAGTTCACATGTGGAGACCAGAGCTCTCCAGGACCTTTGCTCCAGGCCCCAGGGTCTTCCTGCCTCTCTGTTCTCTGCACAGAGCACATTGGGATGAGAGCTTGGGTTTTCCTTCTATCTGCCAGGGTTGGCTGCTGAGCTGAATGCTCTTCATTCTTTGCTCCAGACTCCAGGGATGGCCATGACAATAAATGCTGGTGGGACTTAAGATGCGACGTCTCACTGCTCTACCCTAAAACTGCCAACTTATTCTGTATCTCATCATTTTAATGCTCTGTGAGGGCTGAACTGCCACCCATCCAAACACCGATGGGATATTAAGGAGAAGGAGACTTCCTTATGCTTTGTAAGAAAATGATAAAGGAGGGTTTTAAAAGGCTGTTTGTCCACTTGCAGCAGAAGAAAGGCGGGAGCGGCCATGAGTGACTGGCTGAACAAGATGTTGTGTAGATGTGCAGATGGAATGCTATTCAGCCTGGGCTGCCCCAGTGGTTACACACGCTGGCTGCTCTTCCAGGTTTGGTTCCCAGCTTTGGGATAGATCAGAAAAACTGTGTCTCTATTTAGGGGCAGAGACAGTCTATTAGGAAGGGGTCAAGCCACAACAATCCCCAAGGCTCCTGTAATATTCTCCCCGAAAGAGTAGAGACCCTGAAACCATTTAGGAGATGAGCTGGATCTGGGGACTTGGAGTAACCCATTCCCACCGTGAAAAGCCAGAAATGTAATCCCACAGCTGTTTGCCAGAAGGCGTCAGTGTCAGGCCTAGAGCCTTGGTCATAGGCTCAAGTGTAGCTTCTAGGCAGAGGTATTCATTTAGAAAGTGATAAGAAACCAGAGTTCTTTACTGGACCTTGGGGCTTGGGAACCAACAATGCTTCCTGCTTCTGGCCAAGGACAAAAATGGAATTGTTCACTTCCAAGGTGTTTGCCGGTAAGCCGACCAGCTGGTTTCCCCATTCCCAGCCAGCATCGTTATCTCAACAGGTCTCAGGCCTCACCTTAGCCCATAGCTGCGGGTCATCAGGCAGCAGCTGAGACCATTGCAGAGGTTCTGTCACTGTCCCGTGACACACCTGCCTGGTGCTTCCAACAACGGACTTGAAAAGTGTTTGGATTTGTGACTTTCTTTGCTTTGTTACGATAAAAATTTCAAGAGCTTTTAAAAAAAAAAAATCCATATTTGAAGAACAGAATTTGGGGTAAGCCAAGTCCGTGTTTTTGGAACATGACCATTTGGCTTCTGAATAAGCCCTCTTGAGGTGGGAGCTGTTTTGTTGTTGTTTTACATTAACAGCAGGTTACAGGATGACTACACAGGGCTAAAAGGCGGGGTTCCAGAGGATTCAAAGGTTCTGACAAGCAGAGAGGCTGATGGAAACGCAGTCGGGGGAGGGGGGTGAGCAAGCCAAAGAAACCAAGCTGGTGAACATGCTCTGGCCTGCTGGCTGTGGATTCAGGCTGCCTGGTCAGAGTTGAGCTGTACAGTCCAGTCTGGTTTCAAAGGCCAAAGGGCAGGGCTGGGTCCAGGTTAAGGAAGAGGCAGAGGAACGGAGGCAGGTTCGGGTGAGTGAAAAGGACCTGCAGGCACCAACTTTAACAGGCCATGTCAGCAGGGTAGCGGACAGTTCCAGGGGTGCCTGGGAGTTTTCTGCCTGTGGATCTTGACAGGCCTGTGGGAACCAAGGTCTCTGCAGTGCTAAGCGCCTACCTTTTTTTTTTTTTTTTTTTTTTTTTTTTTTTTTTTTTTTTTTTTTTTAATGTGGTCCAGTGAGGGAATTGTAGATGTTCCTAGGTCTAGAATGTCTGATAAGTTCTTGGGGCTAGTTCCCCTGATTTTGTTTTTTGGTTTTTCCCTTGTTTCACTGCTGTCCCAAGTCACCTTGGTACATTCTCAGGAAAAGTCTCAGGAAGTCAGGAAGTCACCTTGGTACATTCTCAGGAAGAGTCACTTATCAGTCTGTGCCTTGTGGGTGGTGCCAGGCACGTGATGCTGCTGGAATGTCCATTAGGTTCCAAAAGTTGTCCCCCAGCTTCAAGGTGTACCCCAAAGCTGCTTGTCAGATGAAGTCTCTTAGGTCTGGGCATAGTCTGAAGACCCACTGTTTTACACTGAGTAAGGCACAGTCTGATGCCCACAGATGAATTAAAAAAACAGAAAGGCAGCTCTTTTGGATCCGGAGGGAGAGACCCAGTTTCTAAGGCTGCATCTTGAAGAGATCACAGAGCATGTATTTCCCAGGCTTTCTTTAGAGGTCTGGAAAGTTCCCGGGAGAAGACACCCCCAGACACTAGTGACGTTGTTTTTCCTGACGTTTTTGTTTCTTTCTCTGGGGTTGCCCTTGGGGCAGTTCCCCTCCACACAGTCTCTGCATGAACAGGGCTGTCCTGGGGGCTGGAAACCCTCTCAGAATTGTGTGATCAGCCTTGGTATTTTCCGAAAGGGTAAGGTCTGGTTTTTTTTTTTTTTTTTTTTTTTTTTTTTTTTTAACATCCTATGATAATCTTTTCTCTCTAGCATCCTTTGGAAGACCTGCGTGACTTTCAACAATGAGTGGGACTGTCCCTAAGTTATTAAACAGAGTGCCAGAGCCTCCAGGCCAGGCAGTTAAAAGAAAATTGTAATAACCCAAAAGGCATAGATTGGTGGCAGACTGCCTGGGCTCAAAGGCTGCCACTGAGGCCCAGGGAGAGATCCCACAGGGTTGCTGTGACCATGGCATGAATTTGTCCAGGGAAGCATTCCCACAGTGCCTGGCGTGGATATGTGCCGACTCTACCACATGAGACAATTATGTCAAACATCATCATTCAGATCTGAGTTTCTTGGCTTGCCTCTTAGGTCACGTAGTCATAGTTGATGTGGCTCCCCCCCCCCCCCCCCATCTCATTTGGGGTAATCTGCCTTCCAGAAGTTTTTGTTTTGTTTTGCTTTTCTTCTAAGAGGATGGAATTCTCTCTCCTGCCTGGTTATATAGGGTTAAGTGGATTAGGAGGGACCAGTAGCTGCCTTTGCCTGGGTGTCACTCAGGGAACATCCCTGGCACTTATGTAAGATGCTGGGTGGGAGCTCACAAGGAAAACATCTGCAGCCCACAGACTGTGAACAGGGCACCTGGGTTGCAACTCAGTGAGGCTGCGTACCAATTCTCCCATCCCACAAGCATCATTCAACAGGAATAGGAGGCTGGCTCAGCGTTGCCTGCTTCACAGTGCTTGGCTGATGGCTTCCAGGGTCTCCAAGGCTCCTCTTTGTGTTGGCAGTGGACTAAAGGACAAGGAATGAAAAGCAACTCCCTTTCACCCCAACCACCCATATCTTATTGGCTACAAGTCTTGGCCATGTTTTTTTTTTTTTTTTTTTTCTGCTATATGACTGCCTCCACACCTGCCTGCTAGTCCTCGCCGGCTCTCTGAAGCCACTGGGACTGCTCATCCTGCTTCCATTAGGAGTCCTACTGATAAACAGCCAGGCCCATTGACCCAGCCCTCACTCCCTTCCAAGGCTTTTTTTTTTTTTTCTTTCTGCATATGGATGGCTCTAAAACTCTCATTAAGAAAAATCAAAGCTTTTTACTACCTGGACTCAGATGTCTGGCCCTTGTCCTGCTACAGTTGACCTCTGGATTGCTGTGCTTCAGCCCTGAGCTCCCCTCTTCCTTCCTGTCTACTGCTCTTTTGGGCTCCCAGGTGCTTGCCCTGGTTGCTCTTTTGACAAGTAGGGTCTTTCCCCATCAAATCTTTCTGAAAAGTTTCCAATCCTCCCTTTAGGAGTCAGCTCAATTGTAGTTGAAAATGGTCCAACTGAGACAATTTCTTCTTCTTCTTCTTCTTCTTCTTCTTCTTCTTCTTCTTCTTCTTCCTCTTCTTCTTCTTCTTGTTTCTGTTTATTTTGTTTTGTTTGGTTTGGTTTGGTTTTTTTGAGACAGGGTTTCTCTGTGTAGCCTTGGCTGTCCTGGACTCATTTTGTAGACCAGGCTGGCCTACCCCTGCCTCCCCGAGTGCTGGGGTTATAGGCGTGTGCCATCATGCCCGGCTAGTGTGACCCATTTCTTAACAGTCCAAGAGAAACAGTTCTTCTCTGGACTTCTACATCACCTTTTGTTCGGTTACAACCATAATGCTACCATTTGTATGCCTTTCCCAACAGGCCAGAGAGGACACTTCTTCCCCACCTGCTGTCACCAATGTCTGGCCTGTAGCATAAAAATAGAATAAGTTTGATTTAAAATAAATGACTCCGCCAGCCCTCACTCGTGGTTCTGCTCAAAAATCAGTTTCAAAAGCTGGCTGTAAGAGAATGCCTGAGATCAGGAGGAGTCCATGTTTGCCAAGACATCCAATAAGAGAGAAGACGACTACTGCCGTGCCACATGCAGCGTCTGACATGCAGCAGGCACACCCACGATGAATGTCCACGGATTATCTAATAAGTATAGTGACATCTCCAAGGGATGTCAGAGAAGGAAGTACGGACCCAAGGAAGCAGGGAGGTGGAAGGCTGTCTTCAGAATACACATTATGATCACGCTCTCGATCTCACAGCGCTTCTGATTAATGGCATAACATCTGTGCAAGATGGAGCCTGTTGATGCCCTGAACTGGGGACAAGGGAGAGATGAGCCATGAGGTCCTAGCGCCCCTGAGCAGCTAACAGCGGGTGATGGTTTTCAGTCAGGTAGGGGCTCACCAGGCCCCACCACTTCTTGAATATCTGAAGATAGTTGGTGGTGGCTGGAGATACTGTAGACACTGGCAAAGGAGCTCATGCTCCTATAAATAACCCTTCACCCAGGACCATGTATGCAAGCTCAGTGAAACGCATTGGGCCACTAAGTAAATAAATGGAAAAGGACCAAGTGAGACGATAAAGGGGATCAATGGAGTTGGAGGCAGATAGGAGAGGGCAATGAGGAGTAAAGATGATAAAAACACATTTCATATTTATGTGTGTGTAAAAATGACCGAATCTCATTATTGTATGTAAATAACACATTCAAACAAAAGGAGACCTTATTAATAACAGGTTAGCCCAGTAGACTTACGCATAAATCGTCCAGTTTCAGAGTCTCTCTCCATTTTCCAGTCTGTGTATATCACTTCACCTTCCTAGAAAGATAACAGGCTCTGGGTAAATGCAAGGGCAAGCTCAGAGGCAAGAGACCTTTTGTTCCTGTGCTGAGACTGAGGGCCCAAAGACAAATAAAAACAATAAAAACAACATATTGTTTTTATTTGTGACAGGAGAATACAGCCTACCAGGAGGGAAGAAAGGCTCAGAATTGTTACTGTATTTGATTTCAAGATGATTTTGATTTCAAATGAATTTGCTTTTTGCACACAGTGTAAGATGGGTAGCTGTGGAGGCCTTCTGCGCATAGCTGATGGCTTTCCTAACTTTCTGAGTATATATGTGTGGGGTGAGAACGGGTTTGGGTTATTCAGTGATCTGTCCTCAGTGCTTAGCCAAGTCAGGGCTTAATAAAGACCTGGAATAAGATGGAGAAGGAAGGCATATCATAACGCTTAGCCTAAAAAGGCAAGAGCAGGAAGTGCTGCTCTCAACTCACACTTAAGCATTGTATAGTCTAGTGCTAATCTATGACCATTTTAAGGAGAAGGGAAGGCAGAAGGGTCCAACATAGAGCAAGAGGAAGGACAGCCATGCAAGTGGGAAGAGACTAGAGCAGTGAGACCATTGTACAACAGAGGTCATAAGGCTACGACAGGGAGCTTGTGATTTAAAAACCGAACAATTCTGTTTTACCTCTGTTCCCACAAAGAACTTCGTGCAGAAGTCATCTATTGGCTTGAGTGTATTGGCCATCCCAGCCTCCAGATTTTGGTAGGGGTATATTTCGGCCGCCTTCAGTGTTCTGATCTGGTTTAACATCTTTTCTTTCAGAAGAATATGCATGGAGGAAGTACCTGTACAGAGGGAAAGATAACATACATTATATGTTTTGTTGCTTGCCACACACATCTATCCCGTTCATGCCCTTACAGTGTGGCAGTGATGGAGTCCAAGAATACTGAGCTTCAGTTTAGCGGGAAACCCCTTCCTTTGCAGGCCACCACCAACTACGTCATAGTGTGCGTTGTGTATTACAGCTACATGTGCCAGCAGCAGAAGGGCACAGCTATTCTGGAGGCTGAAATTGGCAGGATTTTTCTTTCAAATACCTGATATCATTTTATTTTAGAGAAAAGTTTTTATGATTTAAACTTATAAATATTGTTAAGCTTTGGAAAATAGAAAAAAAAACACAAATCAAATAAAATGTATTTAGTGCTTCATTTTTTCAGAGATAAACACCACTGAAGTACTGCTATTTCTCTCCCTCCTGACATTTCTGCAGATACACATAAAACAGGTTTTTTATTTTAAAAAATGGATCACATCCTAGGGCTGGAAGGTGGCTCAGTGGTTAAGAACACTGGACCTAGTCTCCGTGTGCAGCACCCACATGGCATTTCACCACCATTTGTAACTCCAGTACCAGGAGATCCAACGTCTTCTTTCGGCTTCTGAGGGCACCGGACACGCATGCAGGGCACATAGGCGCATGCAAGCAAAACATTCATATACATAAAATAAACCAACATTTAAAAATTGGAATCATTCTATTTTAACCTGACATACTGCTTTTTTGTTCTCTTATACACGGGTGGGGAGAAGTTGAAGAGGTGGGAGGATAGAAGACATGCAAACACTAAGGAAGGGGTAAGCATCAAGAAAAGAGTGGGGTTTAAAGAGAGCCAAGTGTATATGTGTGTGTGTGTGTGTGTGTGTGTGTGTACAGCAAGTATGGAATCAGACAACAGCTTTCAAGCTCAGGCCTTCAGTTCCACCCTAGGGAGTCAAAGAGGCCAGAGAAAAGTATTTCCATCAACTGCATTTACTCAGACTTGAGCGGCATAACCTTGGATAGTTGGTGATTTCAAAGCTGTTATGCATCGCAGAGCTTCAGTCTTTGCTGTTGGTAATTATTGTAACTAACTTTATTGAACACTAGCTGCAAGCCAGGCACTAAACTGTGCATATTCCTATACTAACATACCTGCACAATGTCCTGTGAGGTAGCTGTCTCTGTTATATATTCCTTTTATCTCATCTTTTCCCCAGACAAGATAGGGATAAGGCAAGGCATGATCAAATAATAAACCGTGGCTTTGAGATTTTTAAACACCGACCATCAACACCAGAATCCTGGGCTTGCTTGGTAGACCAGACTATCCTTGAACTCACAGAGATCCAGCTGCCTCTGCCTCCCCGAGTGTTGGGATTACAGGTGTGTGTCAGCACATATGGCTCAGAATCTACTCTTAACCATTATGTTATTACTTAAAAATCATATGGCAGGCTCTGAAGGCTAGTCTAAAAGAATTCAAAAGCTTTGTAGTATAGCCTTTCTCATCAAAATACATAGAGAATTTCTCATGGAGAAGCCAAGCTGCTGTCTACCTAGAGCCGTCACCCATACTGGCTAGTGTTGCTGGTACTGGAAGAGGCTCTGCAAGCTACCAGAGGAGAAAGGTCCACACCAACCCAGCTACAAAAGCTCCCGTCAGTGACGACCTGTCTGCATGGTCGTCTGCACCCGTCTGCTGCAGTGGTGGCACAGCCTTGTGGTCGTAACCAATCACTACCTGAGTGTACTTGAGGCTCACTCCACAAGACCGACCCATGTCTGACGCTGCTTGGTTGTTCAAGAACCTGAAACTAGATAAGGCACGGACCTAGGGAAAAATCCAAGTACTACTGCTCTGCCAAAAGCAGCAATAAAGTAAATTACTCCTGATGACATTCTGCTATACTCAAGGATCGGTGTCTTGCACAGCCATCATTAGGAAAGCTTTCTCCTCAAGTAGATGGGAAGAAATACAGAGATCTGCATTGGACAATGTGCTGTGTGAGGCCTTGAAACACCCAATTCTGAATGGAATGTCTCATTAAATCCCTCCCCTCGGGGCTCATGGAACTTTGCAGAAGAGGAGGAAGAAAAACCTTAGGAGCCAGTTGGGATCAAGTACATAAACCAAGGGAGCAAGGTCTTCTGAACAGCAGGGCTAACACACCATTGAACCCACAGAGGCTCGGCAGCATGCACGGGGCCCGACGGGGTCAAAGGGAGATGGGATCTGAGTGCTAAAAAAGGAAGCAGACACAAACCCTAGTCCCGAACCCAAAAGCTATTTCCAGTTGACAGGTGCTCACAAAGGGAAAGAAAAAACAAACAAACAAACAAAACCAAAAAACAAAACAGTTTTCTCCGTTGGAGTTTCTCTGGGTACACAAACCACAATCAAGGACAGGCTGCATGCCCAGTAGCAGATGGCCAACACAAAAACAAACTCAATGGCAGTAACGCTTTGCCTAAGTTTTTTCTTGTTATCTTTTTAAACCTTACAGGTCTTTTGCTTATACATTATAATTTCTGATTTTGCATTTTTATGGGTGTCTCTGGGTGTCTTCGTCTGCAGGTGTTTCTTGTGCTTTTTCTTTGGCTCCTCTTCCTGTTGTTTGTGTTTTTTTCCTACTCTGGTTGGCTTGTTTGTTCTACTTGCCTGTTTTTTAGTGAGAGAAAGAAAGGGTGTGGATTTGGGTGCATAGGGAGGTGGGGGGAAATCTTGAAGGAGTTTGGGCAGGGAAAAACCGTGATCATATTATATGAAAAATATTTTAATTAGAAAGTAATACACAGAGAATTATTTATTTATTTATTTATTTTTTTTTTTTTTTACCGTTACTGGACTATGTACAGGAACCACTAACTCTTTTAGGCCCTGTCTGCTATGATGGACTCTAAAATGATGGGTGACTGGTCCTTGGTCACTAGGTGGCGACAGAGCCCCGGAAAACCTGAGCAGGGCCTTGTGATTCATGGTCCAAGGAAGCCAGTACTAAACCAATAGGCAAAATGTCCCAGGGAAGTTATGTGTGCATTCTACTGAACAGAACCAAGGCTGGCCAGAACAGGTGCACAGCTGCAGCTTGCTGAAATTGCAGGCGATACCTCGTTTCTTAAAGCTGGTTACTCACACAGGAGTCAGGAAGTGGCCGATCTTTCTGAGACCTCCAAATTGCCTGCAACATGAATTTTCTGCACCGCCTACTTGTGTCTCTGCTGAAAACATGTCTATTTCTCCTACAGTGCACTTTAACCCGAATGTTTTCCTTTAAGAATGACATAAAATCGTGTTTTCCAGAAAGAAAGTATTTTGATGACCTGTTTTCCTGTTTGACCACATAGGCTACAAGCTGCTTATTTTCAGGAGGTTTTTCGTTAAACGCAAGTAAATGTATTTTCAGTTGTCCCACCAGAATATTAGCTCTGTGAAAAGACTTATATTTTTAAAAAAAATGTTATTTTAAATTATGTATGTTTGGGTACGTGCACATGGAAGTTCAGATGCCCACTGAGTCCGGAAGAGGGTGTCAGAGGCCCTGGGGTTGGAGTTAGGCAGCTGTGAAGCACCTGACATGGGTGCTGGGAACTGAACCCGGCTCCTATGGAAGAGCAGTAAGTGCTCTCGAGGGCTAAGCCTTCTCCCCAGCCCCGCAGTCGTGTTCTCAGAGCCTACGGGAGTTTAAGAGATACTTGTTGGTTGAAAGTTGTATGACTGTGGCATGGAACACGTGAGGCCCCACGTTCTCTTCCCAGCAGCAGGAAAGACAGAAAGAAAGGACAGGAAACTTAGGAAATTAGGAAATTTAATTTTAGCATTTATGTGTCTAAAGACAGAACTTCAAAAGACTCGAAGCAACAGCTGAAGGACGGAAAAGGGAATTAGACAAATGTGCATCAAAAGTCAGAAGACCGACCAGTGCCTTTCCCTCAGTGGTTGCTAGGACAAGGAGACTGGAACCCAGGAAGGAACTTCCTGAGCTGTGCTCTCTCACTTTCTGCAATTTCAAGTAGTTCCTCAGGGTCAGCTGATGTCTCGAAAGAGCAAACAGGAAATCTGAGAAACATGCTTCTGAGTTCTGAGTTGCACAGCAGTCTCTTTAGGGTTTTGCTCGCTGCTGAGATATGAGTTGTCCAGGGAGCAGTGTCTTCATGCTGTGCAAACTGCCTGCCCATCAGCCACTTAGCCTCCTTGGCGACCAGATGCTGTAGGACTGCTGTGCTTCAGCTCAAGTGACATCCCCACCCTGCCCCTTTAACTTACTGAGTGTGAAAGCAGTGATACTGGGAATTTGTAAAAGCACTTTCAAGTAAAAAGCCGGAAGCACAACCTGGTACTTTCAGGGAAAGTTCCCAGAGTCATGGAACCTTTATTCCAGGATACAGTCACAATTCTGTATTCTATTAGTAGGATTTAATTTGTTAACTTCTTACTTTGCCTCATTCATGGAATAAATCTGTGTTTTGAATCGGGTATTATGGGTATTGGACTGCATCATGCACAGAAGGGACTATCCCTGAATTGTCAGCTGATTTCGCCTCTTACACAGCTTCATGAAATCGGGGTCATGCTCTCACGTCATATCTGAGCCTGGATGGGTCTCACTAAAAATCAGTTAGTCTCTGGTGCTGGGTGTGGTAGCATACACCTTTACTCTCAGCGCTTGGGAGGCAGAGGCGGGTGGATCTCTGTGAGTTGGCCTACATAGTGAGTTCCAGGCCAGCCAAGAACACATAAGTGAGATGCTGTTTGAACCTTCCACCCAAAAAAAAAGGCTTTCAAATGAGAACTGGCCAAAAAGTAATTCAGAATCAAACATGAAATGAAATTTGAGCATTTCCTGTCGTGCTCACCCATGCTACGTGCATCGCATGGCCTGCGTGCAGCCTCGATCCCTAACATCCATGGTTACACCTTTACTTCCAATGCTGCTCTGCTGATTCACACCAGCAAATGCTGCCTGAGATCCTGGGCTCAGCGCTGGGACTGTGGTGCGCTGTGAACTGTAGAGTTTTACTGTGCATACAAAGGTTTTGCTCTCATGCAGACACAGTGGTTTAATCATGAGAGGTAAAGACTTTCAGTCCTTTTCCACCATCAGTCCTCGGCGGTTTGTATTGTGTTAAACAAATGAATGTGGCATCTTCTCAAGATGCAACTTGCTTTCATTGTTGATAAACTGCAACATGTTATAGGCGTATGTGTGTACCGCCCACCACACACACCAAAGACTTGTTTTTAAAATATTTATGCTTCATTATCAGAAGTACTTGATTTGTATATACCAATTGCATGTATATATACATATACATATGCACCCCCTCAATTCCCCGAAATATAAAATCACCCGAGAGATGCAGAAAAAGCTTTTGATAGAATTTGGCCCTGGTTTGTCACATAGGCAAACGTTAGCAGTACACTTAAACGTGCTGAGAAGTGAAAAGTGACATCTGTTATTTATTTACAAGGCTGGCTTGTAACTCACTCTGTAGCCCAGGGTGGCCCTGAACTTGAAGCCATCTTCCTGTTGAGGTCTCCCAAGTGCTAGGATTGTAGGTATTATCGACCCTTCCCAGCTTGGGCAAGCCACTTTTGGCAAACGTTCACATCAGCCAACGGAGAAAGGAGATCACTTTCAACAGAGTGCAGGAACACACATATAACAAGAAGTTTGATTCATAGCCTGGGCCATATAAAAGTTGACTCAAAGAGATCATAGGTCTAAAGAAAAATATAGTGGAAAATACCTAGGAAAAAATGTTTGCACCCTTGTGTCAGGCAAAGATGTCTTAGATTGCAATGCCAATATTTATAATGCCACAAAAGAACCAACTGATAAATTGTACTCCCTTGGACTTGAAAGCTTTTGATTTTGCAAAGAGAACAAGAAAACAGTGTAGACAGGAAGGAAGCATTCCACAATCATATACTAGATAAAAATCTACGATACATTAAGGATTCTCAATGATAACAAACACCGAAGTCAACTGTCATGGAGGACACAGGACCCTTGAACTGACACTGCTAATGGGGTATGCCCATACAATGAAATATTAGTCTGTGTGGTGGCTGATCCTGGTCGTTAGCTTCACTCCTGGAGAGAGGGAACCTCAGCTGAAGCATCGCCTCCCCCTGTGGGCATGTGTGCAGGGTATTTGCTTAGTTGGTAACTGAAGTGGAAGAGCCCAGGCCACTGTGGGGTAGGACCATCCCAGGCAGGCAGGGCTGGGCTGCACAGGAAGGCTGTTAATCGTGGACCTGAGGAGACAAGTAGTCTTGCTCTGGGGTCTCTGCCTCAGAGCAAGCACCACCTTCAGGTGCTTGCCTTGGCCTCCCACCCTGGCTTCTTGGGATGGTGGGCTTTCCTCCCCAAGGTGCTTTCGGCCACAGTGTTTCATTACAGCGACAGAGAAGCACACCAGGACAGTCGGTAGCGAAAGGGGGAGAAGTATGGACATAGATGACACGAATAAATCCATGGGTAATGTACCTGACTGAAAATGGCCAGCCCTTGGTTGTGGGAGTGCAGTCCTAGCACGAGGGAGGCTGCTGCAGGAGGATTGTGAGTGAGGCCAGCCTGGGCTACACAGTGAGAAGCTGTCCCCTCCAAACAAACAGACAAACTGGGAAATATAACAAACGGCCAACTAAGAATGGGAGTGCATACTCCAAATAATTCATTTAAAATTATACAAAATGCAGGTTAATGTGGAGTGGCAGGTTAGGACAGAAAGGAACTCTTGAGGGAACTTCTGAGAGAGAGGGTTGTGCCCAGTATGGCGACAGTGATGGTGTTTCCTGGGTGTGCCTGTGCGAGCTGCCCAACCTCTTTACTAATGTACAATATACCTTATTTCTGTTATTCCACGATAAGATTACTAAGCAAGATTAAAAAACAGACACACAAACTAACAAGCAAAAACAAAAACAAACAAACAAACAAACAAAAAACGCCCTTAGAGGAAGGAAAGCACAGGCAATATTAGCACAGTCCCTGACCCACAGAATGAAGGCAGGTATACCATTAGCACAATCCCTGACCCACAGCCGGAACTCAATCAATTATAAAGGGTAAACTGAATCAGAGGGAGGGAGAGAAGACTCTGTGGTTCCTTTAAAATACAGCAGGTCCAATCAAACAGGCTATGTCTATAAAATGACCCCAAATCCAGATTCACTTTTTTTCCCAGCACAGGTCCAAAGAGGAATTCTGCTCCAGCTGGACGTTACGTTCATTAAAAAACAAAAGAAAACAAAACTTTACACTAGAAGTCTTTGGAGGCCAGGCAAGTGTCTGAAAATACTTCAATTGTTAGTTAGTTTTGTACATTTTGTATAATTTCAGTGTGCTCTGCTCTCCCAACCTCTCAGCACTCGGCCAACCTTATAAAAGAGATATAAACTTTCATTATAAATTTCCACTCTGGAGATTTCATTGTCTGAAGTCTAGGACTCAGACTGTTCTGGCAGGGAACTCATCTTAGACATAAACAGATAGCAATTCTCCAAGATGCCCTTTAGCAGACAATGGCAGTCAGTTACCTTGCACTCTGCAAAGAAGAGGATCTTCGCCCAGGCTCAACTTGGTTGGACAGTGGTCTAAATTTGTGTCACCCTTAGACAGTTTTATCTTTTGGAAGAAAATAAAAGAAAGGTAAACTCTTAGATTTTATTTTTGTTTTGTAGCCCGTCTCTTCGGCTTCTAGATTATAAGAAACCTACCTTCTACTGCTGCCCCTCCTTTATCCCCAGGGAAAGCACTTAATCCATATTTCTAAAATCATGCTACCAAGGGAAGCTTGCCCGGGGATGCATTTCCCAATCCCAAAGTGTTATTTTTCATCTTTATATGTTTTATATTGTATTCAACAGCTTACTTTTAGAGTTGCAATGGAAGATAATGATTTAGTGCCTTGTTCCCTAAATGTTTCAGTAGGATAAGGCTTCAGAAAGAGACCTTGCTAATTTACCCGGATGCCCTCTGGTCCCATCAGGGACACAGGCGTACCCTGTGCCTGAATTTTTTTTGGTGAGAATGATAAATGGCCTTTAGGTTTCTTCCTCTATGTATATCTCCTCAGTTTTCTCCCTCTGCATGTTTAGCCACTTGCTATGCAGTTAGTCTTTGGTATATTTGCAAATTCATTTGTGGTGCTTTAACTATTAACAACTCAGTAATTCTTGGCCCAGACAACTTCCTTCCTTCCTAAAAAGTTCTTTTAGACTTATTTAATGTGCATGGGTATTTGGCCTGTATGTGAGTCTATAGACAGTGTGCACGCTTGGTGCTCACAGAAGTCAGAAGAGGGCAACAGATGGCCTGGAACCAGAGTCAATGATTGTGGGCCACCATGTGTGTGCTGGGAATTGCACCCGGCAGCATCTGCTCTTAACCACTGATGCATCTCTCCAGATCCTTATCCCAGACAATTTCAAATATTCTCTTTCCCGTTCTTTTCTAGTTACTTCAGAAATATTTTCACCCCTCCAGGCTCCTTCTCTGGGAGCTAACACCCAGTAATGTTATGTGATATTCATAAATCAAAAGAAAAGACATATATTAGGTTTGGAATTGGGATTACACCTCCTACAGAAGAGGCCTTGCCCACAGCTTGCACATGCACCATCAACAGCAGCAGCCATGTTATTCTAAAGGCAAATTGCTGACTCAAGTTAGATACAGACGACTTCTTATTTGATGACTTCTCAGTTCTGTTCAGTTAGCAGCTTTATCGTATCATCTCTTACCACTGATATCCAAAATGAGCACTTTTTTCCCCTCTGGAAGTGGGGAAAATGAACTTTACTGGGCCCACTGGAGTAGCTACCAATATTCAAGGAGTCTGTGTGCAGCTAAAGAACCAGCACGCAACCATTTGTAAATTGTGGCTCACTTACCCAGGAAATATCAGTCCCAAGCTCATTGTGATTTGGGTGTCTGGTTTGGTGTAGGCGTGCATCAATCCTTCTCAGACAAGGAGTTTCTCAGCTGGATGAATCAGTTCGTGAATGTTGCTAGTTCATGTCCTGTGCTAGTTTGAGCCATTCTTCATTTGGAGGGTGGGAGCATCGGTGTCAATGATACAAAACGGATGGTATACAGGGTGGACACAAGCCCATGTTACTTACCCTCGATAGCGGTTTCCAGGCAAGATCTAGGTGCGTGAAAGTCGAGGGCACATCAAAAGGAACTTGAATGGTTTCCTCCTTCTTCTTCTCTGGTACTGCTTGCTGGGTGTTTGAGGTATCGGCGGTGGCTGTGCCTGGGCCTGTGCTTGTAGGTGCGGCTGCAGCTGCGCTTGCAGGTTTTTGAGGTCGAATATCCCAAAAACATATTGTGCTAAAAGAAAGCTCATATTTATTATTATTAACAAATAAGAGACCCAATGTGAAGACATCATGGGAGACGATGTGTTAGCTTCATGTTTCTGAAGCTAAGCCTTCGTGAAATGAGGCCATTCTGTCTTTTACTTTCCAAATGATTTGACTTTTAGCTATCTGCACTTGTGTGTGGCTGCATGTGGCTTCGTGTGTGTGAGTGCAGTATCCGCGGAGGCCAGAAGACAGCCTCAGGTTTCCCAGAGTTAGAGTGGCAGGAGGGGAGGAGCTGCCTGTGTGGGTGTTGGGAACTGAACCTGGGACCTCCGCAAGAGCAGCCCATACTCTAAGCCATCCCTCCAAAACTGCTCCACAATTTACAGAATCACACCGTCATTTTCTTTGTCTTGATGGTAACACATGGGAACTCAGTTTGGAAACTGATGACTTTAGAAAGGAATATAAGTGATTTACTAAGATCTGACTTGTATATAATAAGTTCACCCATTAAAAACGTATAATTTTAATGGTGGTTGTTAACATTACCAGTGCCTTCTCTTGGACTCCACAGCTTCTGCTCCTGTCAACTCACCTGGCATAAGGTGTCATTATTTTTATTGGGGTCAAAGATTTTTTTTGTTTTTGTTTTTGTTTGCTTTTTAGTCAAAATCTCTTGGCAAAGCTGTACCTGTCCTGGAACTCACTATATAGACCAGGCTAGTCTCAAACTCACAGAGATCCTCCTGGCTTTGCCTTATAAACGATGGGATTAACGGTGTGCACGACCACATCAACTTGAAAGACTTAAAAAAAAAAAAGACCTCACCATATAGCTCATGCTGGAGTTAACCCACAATTTTCAGGTTTTGAGTGCTTTGATTATGAGCTCCAGAGCTGTTTTTAATAGCTTTTTTGTTTGTTTGGAGCCTAGATAAGCATTACTTATAAATACTATATTTCCTATATTGTTATGATTATTAATTCTATAAACTGGCAAATATAATTTTGTCTAAACGAGTAGCCTTCAACATTGCCACCAAATTAAAACAGCACTCTGTATAGATGTACATCAGAAAAGTAGATGCTCTTCTACTTTTAATAGGCTTTACGGATACATGTGGCAACCCTCATATCTGTGAGATAAACTGAGTAGAAACAGCATACCACAAAGTTATAAACATGGGGTGTGAAGAAGCAGAATAACTGTGGGTAATGCTGTGGCACCAATGACTGAGACAAGCCCAGCTAACTCTTTGTTTTCTGAAAATATTTTATTCCCTGTCGTCGTCGTCGTCGTCATCGTCGTCATCATCGTCATCATCATCATCATCGTGTCTGTGATGTGTCGGAACACAGATACTGGCATGGCACGGTGCATGTGTGGCAGTCAGGAGACACATTATGAGAGTCGGCTCTTTCCTCCCACCTGGAGTCCTGGGGGATGAACTAAGATTTTCAGGCTTTTTTGCCAAGGGGTTTTTCCAGCCAAGCCTTCTTGCTAGCTCCCGTTTTCTTATTGTGTAGGCATAAAGTTATTGTGTAATTCAAATGCTGATTTCTATAGCCCTTATATCTGGTTGCAATCCTCTGAGGATCTCCTATCTCAATGTTGTATAAAGACTGCTCCCCAACTGTCCTCTGAGATGCCACTAAACTGGCTTGCAGCCAATTGCTGAGCTTGGCAGAGAATAGGCCTGGACTTCCTGCCAGCCAGGGGAGGCGGAGTTAGAAGAGGAAGTAGGGGATTGAGCTCAGGGACAGAGGTCCAGGAGACATCAAAGTGAAGAGCTGGAGCAGAAAAGCTACAAAGTGCAACTATCTCTGGAATGTATGCTTGGGAGGAAATCAAATTAGCGTAGAGGGTTAAGAACAGAGTAATAACTGCTCAGTTCTTGTGCTGTGAAGCTTCTTAAAATAATATAATGAAATCTCAATTATTTGTGTTATAGCCAGGTTAAGAGAGAAACTGAGAAACAAATACAATGTTATAAAAATAACTGTAACATTATTGTTTCCAAATTTATCCCCATAAAGTTTTTTTTTTTTTAGACAGGTAGACAGGATCTCACTGTGTAGCCTTGGTTGGCCGAGAACTTTCTTTGTGACCTCACTCTCATAGAGCTTAGCCTGCGGGAGCCTCCTAAGTGCTGGGATTAAAGGCGTGAGCCACACTGCTCCAGCTCAAAAGTTGGTTTTCTTTTTAATGCCAGCAACACCTTAACCAGCAGTAATCTATCTATACAATTCTCCTTCAGATACTTTAAGTTAATTGCTGCAATAACAATCTTTGAAGAATGAAAGGAGACATTAATTTTATGAACATTGAAGTGAAAAGAACACAGTGTGTGAAGGGTTTGAGGCAATGTTTGAAGGGACACATACCAATCTGCTGAGCATGTGACGAGCTGACAGCTTATTCCATTCCGATTTTCAAAGACGGAGCCCATTCTGTTAATCTGTTTAAAAATTTTTAAGAAAAGAAAATTCTGTAAACTAACAATAGTAGGCCTGTCTCCTCTAAGGCTGGCTCTGACCTCCCTAGTCATGAGCATTTCACCAGGAATACATATATAAAATTACAAAGCTTCAGAACTATTACTAGGAAGGTAAATTCTGAGTAGCTAGAAATAATTTTCGTCAGAGCTATTTTCCTTTAAATTTTTTTCTTTTAAAAAGTTTTGTTAAAATATTGTTAACACTAGACATTTGGAATCTGAGTTTTAAGATCAAGTACAACCATGAGTGGTACTCTGATCCATCATTTGTTCACAGAAGTATTCTTATGTAGCTTTAGTTCGAATGCATATAAATATTGATTCTCAGATTTTTCAGTTCACATGGCCTGAATTTTATCTGCATAATCACAAATTATTTTAAATGTTTTATAAAATGCAGGTGGTATACATCGTCTTATCATTCACTAGCTATAGAAATGCAGGCTCTTTTAGTTTCACTGTCAGCTGTTCAGCCAAATACAGATTTCAGGAGACCGTTAAACAGGTAAGATCATTAGAAGAAGGGTTAAGTCTCAAATAGGAAACTGGTGGAGACTGGGTGCAGTGGCATGAGCCTGTTCTACAACGGGAGTTCTAGGACAGCCAGGGCCACACAGAGAGACCTTGTCTTCTAAACTCCAAAATTAAAAGAAAAGAAAAAAGGAAACTGATGGTGTTCACTGTCTGCTTATTGGCACAACTCTGCAAGCACATGGAGGACCTTCAGAGTCCTTTCACTGTCCTATAAGTTCCAAGGTCTCCACTAACTACTTGTTAAGGAGGCAAAAGGGTTTGGGGTAACTTAGGAAGGTAGCTCTCTCGAATGTGTACGGAAACATGGCTACCTTGATATGGTTCAGAGTAAAATAGTGAACAGCCTGGGACTTCCACCAGGGCTGAGTGGGGGAAGGCTTCCACCAAGGGCTGAGTGGGGGAAGGCTTCCACCAGGGCTGAGTGGGGGAAGGCTTCCACCAAGCCTGAATGGGGGAGGGCTTCCACCAAGGGCTGAGTGGGGGAGGGACCAGCCAGGCAACTGCAGACCATACTGGCCCATCTTCAAGCTCCCAACCCTTTCCGGTTGTGTGCCAAGTGCCGACTTCCATTGGATCTGATAGTTTAAGAATCTCTCCTCAGAGATTCATCACTCAGGCTTTACATCTTAAAGACTTAGAACTCTGTCTTGTAGCCTACAGTCAACTGAAAGGAAAGCCTTGGTTGAAGAATTGCCTGGCTCCGATTGGCTGGTGCACAAGTCCGTGGGAGATTATTTTTTTATTTGGTGTCTGAGGGCTCAACCCACTGTGGGAGAACCATCCCCAGGTAGGTGATTCTGGGCTGTATAAGAAGCTGCTTAAGCATGAGCCTGAGAAGGCTCTAATGCTGGAACCAGCAAGTGGCATTCCTCCATGGTTTCTGCTTCAAGTTCCTACCTTGACTTCCCTTAAGGAGGGACTTGGAAGTATAAGCCAAATAAACCCTTCCCTTTCCTAAGAGGTTTTTGGTCAATGCATTTTATCACAGCAACAAACAGGAAAGCTAAAGTGAACTTCTAAAGCCATAATACTATTTCAACAGCTTAAAAAACACATTTTATAAAGTAACCAGAGACTAAGGGTAGCTCAGTTGGTACAGTGCCAAGTGTACCCAGAACCCTGGGTTTGATCGCCAGCAGCACCACACACATTGGCCATGGTGCATACATCTATAAGCCCAATACTTGGGAGATGGAGACAGAATCAGAAGTTCAAGGCCATCTTTGGTTATAGAATAAGTTCGAAGTGAGTTCACCGTGCATGAGACACTGTGTCAGAAAACAAACCAAAATAAATCTAACAGAACTCAAGCCGGTGAGATGGCTTGGTGGTTAAGAGTACTAGCTGCTCTTCTAGAGAACCCAGGTTTGACTCCCACCACCCAGACAGCCATCAAAACTCACCTCAAATGAGTCTGGCAGCCAGTGTATATCTGTGATCACTTTCCTGTGGCCGTTTTCTATGGAAGACACTGCGCAGTGTCTGATGTACATTGCTTCTTTATTACTGTCTGGTTCAAGGAGAAACATAGGCTAGAGAAACAGGAAAAGAAAGTTACATTTCAGAGAGTTGATAGGTGAACTCCACTGTCCATTGCAGGTAAAACGTAAAAACTCAGATTTGTATTCGAGTTAAGGGAAAACACAAATTTGTGTTTCAGTATACCACATATTTAGTAACAGTCATAACAACTTTCCCTTTCAATGTAGTTTAATATCTAAATTTTATAAGGATTATGGACCCAATCTGTTCTTGAAGGAGTGTTGCTATGGTTACAGAGATGCACACATCCTACCATGCCATGGTGAGAGATCTATGTATATCATGGCTGGAGAGCAGGGGCTGGAGAGGATGTGCGCTATGGAGGGTACACAGTCACCGAGACCCTGAGCACTCATCCCACTACTGTTCCTGGACGCCATCGCTTCACAGAATCATAACACATATTTTTAAAATTTAAAACGTATTTATTTTGAACATGTACACATGCAAGTATGTGGGCTTGAGCGTGGAAGTCAGAGGATAACTTGTAGGTGAGATTCCTCCTTCCCCTGTGTGGATCTCAGGGATGGCGACAGGCGCTTTACCCATGGAACCATCTTGACAGCCCATTGTAGCATATTTTCATCAGAAAGGACTGACATGGAGGGACCCCTGGAGAGGTGAGGTGGTGTGCCCAAGCTCCTAGCCTGTGAGGCAGCGTCTGGACACCCAGACTTTCCATCCTTTTGGCCTGAGGTCCTCCCACAAAATCACTTTAGGCAAAGTATTTGTTTCCTTCATTTTCCTTAATAATAAAGTCATCAGCAAACCCCCTGTGTTGGCCAATGAAACGAGTGTTTTTAGTGAACACCTCCATCCATAAAACGTGACTCAGAACGTGCCTACCGGCAGAGGTGAAGGATGATAAAATAAAAGTCATTGCTGTGTTTCTTATGTTGAATCTTTAAAAACCTTGGTGAATGTGTCATATATGTTTTTTTTTTTAATAAACTCTTGAATGGAAAAAAAAAGTGTCCTCGTTGAGTGAAAATCTACAGATAGCCAACCTTGAGAGTGGGCTTTTTAGTTCTGCTGCCTCCTGACTTGATATTTTCTATATTGTCCACGTGCGCTGTGATATCCCACAGGACAATCTGAAACAGAGAGAGATGCCATCATAGCATTTTCAGGACATAGAGAATTGGGTCTGAATGACTCCTTTTCAGGGAGTGATTGCCACACTGCCCGAGAAAGACCGATTGCCTTAGGGCATAACTAGAGCTATCTTGTAGCCAAAGTAACTCAGCAGCAGCCCTCAGAGCAGATACTGAAGAGAATGTTTGCATTTCTCTATTGTACCACCATCTCTTTGTTTTATGTTTTCATTAATAAATGCTATTACTGGGCCCAGGGCTGGGGGCACACACCTTTAATCCCAGGACTTCGGAGGCAGAGGCAGGCAGATCTTTGTGAGTTTGAGGCCAACCTGGTCTACAGAGTAAGTTCCAGGATAGTCAAGGCTACACAGAGAAACCCTATCTGGAAAAAAAAAAATAGAACTATGAAGCAAATAAATGCAAGACAAATATCATGCACTTCCCCATGCTTTGGGAAGAATTTGTTCTTTGTTCTGTTTTGAATATAGGTACAACTGCTTCAGACCTGGGGAGGAACAGAATTTACCCAGATTCTCAAGAATTAACTACAAGCATCCAGTCACAGGGGGGAAAAGGCAGACAAAATTATCATAATTGCCTCTGACTAACTCAGAATTTGTATGTTACTTGGGTGGTAGTTCTTTTAAAAATAAGAACAAACTAGACTATACAACACCAACTCATCGGTACATAAAATAAAATGTTAACAGAATACCAATATTGGAGAATCATGAGTGATTTTCTTTCATCATGTCCTGTTCCAGAATATTCTAAAACAGTCATTCCATTTTTGTCACAAATGCAAAGGCACTTCAGATTTTCTTGGCTTAGGAAATGGCTCTGGGTCATTACTGTAATCTCAGTAGCTACTGAATAAAACCATGGAGATATTTGTTTTTCTGCTGTTCTGGAGGCATGAACCTGGAAGCTGCTGCTGTGTGCACCTTAACGAAGGAAGTTTTCTTAGCCACTCACAGAAAGACCAGATACTTTCGTGTTATTAATTGGGACAGGGTCTCATGTAGCTCAGGCTGACCACAAACTGTCTATGTTGCCAAGGATGACTATAAACTCTGGATCCTTTTGCCTCATCTCCCAAGTGCTGGGAGGAGAGGTGTGCGCCACCATGCTGTTTACACAGAGGTACATCCTGCACCCTAAGTGATGTTTCCAGTAGTCAGACTCACTGGACCGAAATGACCTGTCACAGAATGGCTTTAACCATTTTGCTTCACTAATACAACAGTACTGGAGGGTAGAATCTCAATGTGGTGTAAGTTAGATAACTTAGAAGAGAAAATAAAGCAAACGTATGCCAAGCACAAACAAATTCAACATGTATGTGTATTGTCCAGTGTATTGTCCAGTGTATTGCCCAGTGAACTCCTATTAGAGTTCTGCATCATTTCATAACTCACTCATGGCCTCAGGGAAATTCCAGCAAAGGTCACTTGTGGGAGGTGATGATGCAGCTCTCTGCGCTGGGTGGTTTTTCTGTGAGTTTAACAGAGACTACAGTAACCTAGGAAGAGGGACCCTAGGAATAGCCTAGGTCAGAGTGGCTTTTGGGTGTGTCTACAGGCATTTTTTCAATTGCTAATTGATGTAAAAGGTTCCATCTCACTGTGGAAGTTATGCACCCCTCTCCCTCCCATAGGTGGGTCTGGGGTGTATAAATGAAAGAAATATAGACTAGACTGTTTGATTATTCTGACTTATCCTGCAAAGATCTCAAGTTCCAACACCATGTCTGATGTATTTTTCTACTCAGGCCCTGGCATAGTGATTAACATATGACCAACATGCCTTCCCTGTGCCATATTGAACCGTTAGGTTCTAAATCTACCAACATCAAAACTTCTTATAGCGTTAACAAACATTTAAAGACATTTCCTAAATACCTGTCCATTTATGCAGCCTCCAGCGATGATATTGGGGTCACTTGGACAGAACTCGAAGCAGAAGATGTCATCAGGGCTCTCCAGCATCAACTAACAAACCAAAACAAAAGCATTAAATCATATCGAGGTGGCTAGAGGTCCAGCTCTGTAGCTGTCTATAAGCAATGCAGAGTTGAGGCAGCTCTCAGAGGTAATGCCCTGGGCTGGAAGGTCCTCCTGTGAAATTTTATCATGGACGTTGGTCTCACCTATGAGACTGGCACTATGCTCTCACAGGGATCTATCTCCTTCCATCACCCACCCAAGGAATAACAATTATTGGGGGAATGTTATCATATTTCAAACCAAAGAATATGAAATTGGTGTTTCTGAAGAGTGAAGAGGATAAACTCTGTGAGCATAAGATATTCATCTTTCTTCTCTGTAGTATCTATCTACTCAGGCATACAGTGGGCAGTCAAACATTTTTTTCCCCAAGACAGGGCTTATCTGTGTAGTCCTGGCTTTCTTGGAACTGTAGACCAGTCTGGCCTTGAACTCAGAGATCCACCAGCCTTTGCCTCCCGAGTGCTGTGCTGGGATTAAAGACATGTACCACTACTGCCCATATATTTTAAGTTTTAAAACAACATGAAACACAGAAGATGAAGGAATCATTACTTTAATATTACCACCAAGCAAGCTGCCTAGCTACTGTTTCCTACCCAGCACCAAAAAGTAAAGTATATTCCAACTGGGTTTTTCTTTCTTTTCGTTGAGAAGGGTTCTTGGCTGTCCAGGAACTCACTGTGTAGACCAGGCTGGGCTCAAACTCACAGAGATCCTCCTGCTTCTTGTTCCCAACTGCTGGGATTAAAGGTGTCCACGATCACACCTGGCCCGAGTGGAGTTTTAACTTGGCTTGGGTGAATTATTTTTGTTTACTGCACTTTCTGGATTTTTAGGGAGAGCTCTACTTTTGAAAATAAAAATAGTAATACTATTATAGTTTTGATTAGCACATGTAAATCACTTGTATTATCCCTTAAAAAGTAACTGCTTTTTTGTGGGTATATGTGTGTTCATAAGTATGTGCGTGTGTGTGCGCGCGCGCGCGTATGGGTGTTTGTCAGTGTGTGTGTGTGTGAATGTTTGTCAGTATGTGCATGCGTGTGTGTGTGTGTGTGTGTGTGTGTGTGTGTGTGTGTGTGTAGGTCGGAGGTTGATGTTGACCATCTAGATTATTCTCCAGCTTATCTATTGAGGCAGGGTCTCAGTTGAGCGCAGAGCCAGACAATTCAGCCAGTTCAGCAATCTTTAGTTATCCAACTTGCCCCTAGGTCCCCTGTCTCTGCCTTCAGCACTGAGATTCCAGGAGGGCCTCCATACCCACCTAGTAATTACATGGGTGCTGGGGATCTGAACTGAGGCTCTCGCTCTCACACACCTGCGTTACCCACAGGGCTCCCCACAGTGAGCTTGCTATTCTTTAAAACTGAAGTAAGGAAAGTCCTTCAGCATCCTAACAGACCAGACAGAGAACAGACTAGCTCTCCAGAGCAGTCGCACCAGGGCCTTGTCCTCTCTGGAGAGAGCGGCCTGCACTAGTTTGTGGTAAAGTAAGTGAAGGACTAGAGATCTACTTTTCTGATCTCTGCATCGTCATAAAACACATACAACCCACTAGAGCAAAATGGCCGGTCCAGAGGCAGTGAGGAAGGGGAGGTAGAGCTCATCGGGAAAGGCTTTATTCTGCAGTAATTAAGAGCCTCAAGGAATGGAATATTGTTACGTTTAAGAGCAGTGAAATCATATAACACCAACAGCTCCTCACCGGAAGAACTCATACTGAGCAGAAAATGGAGACAAGGAGCGAATCCAGCCATGTCTCAGTTTTTGTGGCTTGATGTGGGGTTTGGTTTTAATGTGTGTGAGTGCATTTTAGTTAAACTATTTCAAATTTGGAGAGTGAAGAACACACAATTCCAAAGTTTTGGACCCCTTGACTATGTGCTGCCATGGCAGCTGAAGAAAGGATGGACTGCTTTAGCCTGGGGGCTTGGTTTCCAAGACTCTTCTACACAGTTATTTTTACTCACTGACACCCCCTGCTGGTGATCCTTAGAATTGAGCAAATTCTTAGGAAACTAAAAATCTTATCTGCATTCAAACAGCACAGTATTTAAATAAAGCCCATTAAAGAAGTGTGTGAAAGAAGTGGGAAACAATAAGATCTGGAGAGGACAGGAACTCCACTAGGAGAGCAACAGAACCAAAAAAATCTGAGCACAGGGGTCTTTCCTGAGACTGATACTCCAACCAAGGACCATGCATGGAGATAACCTAAGACCCCTGCACAGATGTAGCCCATGGCTACAGTTCAGTATCCAAGTGGGTTCCATTGTAATAGGAACAGGGACTGTCTCTGACATGAACTCATTGGCCTACTCTTTAATTACCTCCCCCTGATGGGGAAGCAGCATTACCAGGCCACAGAAGAAGACAATGTAGCCACTCCTGATGAGACCTAATTGACTAGGATCAGAAGGAAGGAAAAGAAGTCCTCCCCTATCAGTGGACTTAGGGAGGGGCATGCATGCAGAGGGTGGAGGAAGGGAAGGATTGGGACAGGAGGAGGGAGGGAACCACAGGGGGGATACAAAGTGAGTAAAGTGTAATTAATAAAGAAAAAAGGTAAAAATAAATAAACAAATAAAGAAAAAAAACACAGGGAAAAAAAAGAAGTGTGTGTGTGTGTGTGTGTGTGTGTGTGTGTGTGTGTGTGTGTGTGTAGGCTAGAGGTCAGGTATTTTCCTCGATTGCTTCCCACCTTATTTTTTGATTCACTGAACCTGAAGTGACTGGCCTGTGAGTCCTAGAGATGTGCCTATCTCCCGTCCCACTGCGGTTATGGATGTGACAATGAAGCTGGCTTCTCATGGCTTGTGAGGATTTGAACTTGGGTCCGCATGCTTTCGTGGCAGATGCTTCACTGACCGAGCCACCTCCCCAGCCACAACCCCTTCGTTTTCTAAAATTAGCTTGTCCCACTGTACTTCAGTAAGTGTGAAGTTTAGCTTTGCTCACATTAAACGCTGTCAAACAGTGACAAAGAAGATCCTGTTTTCTAAGTTAACAGCAGGAGATCACAAAATAATTTGCAGTTAAACTTATCCTAAAGGCACAGGGACGTGGTGTTTGGAAAAGTCAGCCTTGGGTGTAGCTTCCATCAGTTAGTTACCTGAGGGTGTATGGGATCGGAGAAACTCCAGAAAAGAATCAGCGATGGCTGTAGCAGTAGCTTCCCCGAAAAGTGGACTCTTTCCTCATAGGACAGGCGCACGGCCACTGACACGACTATGAGCCCTGAAAAATCGCAAGTATGAGGCAGTTGGCAGCCGCTGCCCATAGCGAGGCCTCCAGCTCCTGCCTGCCCCTGCAGCAGATTCGATGTAGCTGCTTCATGCTGAGCGGTGTAGTTAGCATAGACAGGGAGCTCAGAAGGTTTGGGAGTAACAAATGAAGAAGTCACTTTCTTTTTACTTGCCTGTGTGTGTGAGTGTGTGTGTTTGTCTGTGCGGGTATGTGCACATGAGTACATGGTGATTGTAGGTAGGGACCAGTTGGAGGTATCAGAGCCACTAGAGCTGGAGTTACAGATGGCGGCTGTGAGCCACCTGGCGAGGATGCTGGGAATGAGCTCTGCTCTGAGTGTGTGCTCTTAGCCACCGAGCCATCTCTCCAGCCTACAAGAGATGTTTTGAAGATGAGAAAGGCCAGTGAGGAGGGGTGGAAGGGAGGAAGGCGGTAGGTACGTCTTTTCATGGCTGCACCTGGATGCATTGCTTTTCCCTTAGCTGGTGAGTGCTTTAAAGGTGTCTGTCAGGAGTGTCAGGGGCGGTGAATCCAGCACTGGAGTCTGGCAGGCCCCAGGAAGAGGCAGCTTCATTCACTCAGCCAGCAGCAGAGTGACCTGAGCAAGGCGCAGGCGTTGGAAAGCGCTTGCGTGGCAGGGGCCTGGTGCTCAGCAAGTCTTATATGCCCGGCTACAACCCATCTTTTTTTTTTTTTTTTTCAGTTTTAGAGACTAAAGCAAGATTTTTTTCAAAGCCAGCACCTAAGGGGACCCCTGCACCCCTTCCTTACCATGGATGGTTGGGTGCCACGAGACACAGGTGATCATTTTCTCCATGGTGCTGTGTAGGTCGGTGAAGGACTGGTACTCCTTCAGGTGGGTGTCCGTCTTGTCCCCAAAGGTGCTTTCTTCCTGCGCGAGGTTCTTCCAGTCGTCGACGAACGTGTTCATGATTTCGTTTTGCTGCAGGCCTATTTCGACACTGTTTCATTAAAACAAAACAAACACAAAAAACCCAGCCCGCATGCTGGATATTAGTAATCGCTGACACTGCAAATGTCGCCACAGGGATGAAGCCGCGCTAAGAGACGCGCATGCCCAGGAGGACCAAAATTGCTCATGACCCCGAAGCTGGAGCTATGTGAGTCCCTTGCAAGTTTCTCTCACAGTTTTCTTCTTTGGAAAATGACGTCACACTTTTTAGATAAAATTCTAAGGAAAAAGAAACTCACTTCTTTTTTTAAATTTTTATTTTTTATATTAATTACAGTTTATTTACTTTGTATCCCTGTTGTAGCCCCCCCTCCCTGGTTCCCTCCAAACCCCACCCTCCCTCCCTCCCTCATCTCCTTCTTGCCCCTCTCTAAGTCCACTGATAGGGGAGGTCCTCCTCCCCTTCCATCTGACCCTAGCCTATCAGGTCTCATCAGGACTGGCTGCATTGTCTTATCTGTGGCCTAGCAAGGCTGCTCCTCCCTGGGAGGGAGGGGGCTAGGGGGAGGTCAAAGAGCCAGCCACTAAGAAACTCTTAAAAAGTGCTTGCTCCCAGACTGAAATCACACTCACACAAACTTAAACCATTAAATGATGTTAAACAGTTTTAAAACTGGAAGAAAAACTAATATTACTATAGGTTTCTTCTTTACTCTGAGCAGTGCTATTACAGATCTCTTCTAAGTTTTCCTCTCTCCTTTGGGTTCTCTTTCATTTACAATAGGGAAGGAACTGCGAAAGGCCCTTCCTGTTAGAACAGGGGCCTGCACCTGCTGACCTCGTAGCCTCAGTCAGGCCAGGCCTCTCCACACCTCTCTCTGGAACAGTTAAGAAGCTGTTTGGCCGCTCCATGCTCCTTGCCATGTATTCTAGGCTGAACCAAGTGAAACTTGCCTTCACCCCTGGGAGGTTATAAAAAGTCAGACCCTCCTTTGCATACAGTTACCTTCAGCGAATGTGTGGAAGGTGTGTATGAAGCATTTGTTAATTGTGTGTTCAGATTTTTGTCCACCTTCAGGCTGCCACGTTCTGGCTTTGGGCGTTCAGATAAGCAATGTTCAACTTTTAATTGCTGATTTGAAATAGGAAAACATCTTGGCACAACTTGGTCATTCTGGCTGTGTTTGGTGCAGCTGTACCATGAGAGGGCCAAGGTAATGCAGCAGCAGGAAGGCAGCAATCACTGAGACTCGTTCACTCCCGCCCTGCTGACAACTGTCCTCACGTTTCCAAGTGTCACACACGAGGCTGCTTCTGAGATCCCATTATTAAAAATAAGCATGATCATGTTTAAAGTTTTTTAGACATATACTTTCTTACCTTGTGGACACATTGCCAAGGAAATCAGCCAGAGACTTTGATTGTAGGAGGGCTTCTCTTTCCAGTTCTGGGAACTCTCTTGCATAATACTGTGTTGTCGCATTTTTAGGAAATGCCCTAATGTAAAAAGGAACATTGAATACCAAAACTTTGATGAGAGAAAAGCACGTACATGTTAGGCCAAGTTAAGAGACTATTTCTGTGGCAGTGTCAGAATATCTCTATCAAAATATTTTACCTTAGTATTTTTCTTTATCATAAAATTGATATTGATTACCAAAGTCTACACGTACATTTCCCCAACATAATAAAGCAAAGTCTTGGGAGCTAACAGGAAGTGGGGAAAAATTATGAGAGGGCTAAGAACAGAACATGGTCAAAGTAATTGTGTCCTTATGAAACCCAGAACCATGTACAGTGCATACCCATTAAAAATTGCTTTAAAGGGTTTCATGTTGTAAAACTTTATTTAGAAATCATTTAAAATATTTAAAAGTTGTAAGAAGGATATAACACTGAATAAATTCCTATACACCCTTCACTCAGATTCCCTAATATTTGTCAAGTTTACTTAACTGTCTTTCTTTTTAAGTCGACATTTGTAGCATTTACTCTATTCTCTTTTCACCTCTATTTCGTGAAATCAGTTTCTGTCTCCCTCCCTCCCTTTCCCTCTCTATCTCTCCCTTTCTCCATCCCCTCTCTCCCTCCCTCCTTCTCTCCATTCTACTTTTTCTCCTCTCTCCCTCCCTCCTGTCCTCCCTCCCTCCTGTCCTCCCTCCCTCCTGTCCTCCCTCCCTCTGGTGTATGTGGGTGGTATTAGTATGTGTCCGGGGACACGCTTGCGTGTGTGGGTGCTGCACATGCGTGCTGAGGCCAGGGTGGGCCCGGAGTGTCCTGCTCCGCCCTTCTTCACCTCTTTCCCTCAGTCCGGAGCTCACTGTTTTCAGCTAGGCTGGCCGGCCAGTGAACCTCAGCAACCCTTCTGCCACTGCCCTCCGCAGTGGTAGAGTTACAGGCGTGGGCGCTGCTGTACACGGCTTTTTACGTGGGCGTGGGAGTTTAGAACTCAGGTCCTTCTACGTGCCCAGCAGCTTCTCTTACCCACCGAGCCTTCGAGCTCTCTGGCCCTATAACTGTGTATTAGATGATCACAAGCCATCCTCCTTCCTCAAGGGACCGTTGACAATGGTGTCACAATTGGGAAATGCTACTAAAATCTAGTGGTAGGGTCCAGAGGCTATTATGCATACTGTAAGAAACAATAAAATCCTCCTGTTGCAGAGACTGACTTAGCTTCAAGTGCCAATCGGAGCGGGGAGGCCCTGCTCTAAGAACAGAGAGCTAGGGTTTGCTAGTTAAGTTAGGGCAGCAGTGGCATCCTCGTCAACGGAGACTTTTTTTTTAAGTTGGCCCCCAGGGCTTGCCTCCACTGTGACCATGTCACACTGAACTTCTGGGATTCATCCTCAGTCTCACTCACTGGGTGAGCCTTGGATGCTGGGCCACGGATCTAGGAAAGGATGGATGGTGCAATCGTTATCAGCGTGGACTCTTCTTGGGACAGGCTATCGAGTTTGAAAGCCTGGTTCAATCGCTAGCTGCGTGACCAGGCCTAATTAATTATTCAACAACTCTGAGCCTGTTTTCTTGTCTGGGAATAGAATTCTTTAAGGCATCCCCAAGTCACCGTCAGGGTGTGAGATGTAAGTATATGCAGAGCTATGAAGAGTGCCTAGAACACCTAAAGTGCTAGTCAAATCTTGCGTCTTTAATCCATGTTTATTGGAAAAACATTGGTAAATTGCTGCTGTGAGTGGAAGTGAATTAAGTGGCAATCAGGCAGAAAGGTAAAGAGAGTTTGGAGTATGTTTAACAGAAAAACTTTTTGCCTATATTGGTATCTATACCAATAGAGAAGAGTAGTGGTGAGAAGGAGTATCAGTACTGAAACCTGAGACTTGGGTTTGGATCTTATTTTCATCTTTTAACTTTTTCCTTCAAGGGAGAAATAAGTAAAAAAACAAAAAAAAAAAAAAAAAAAAGACATTTGTGGTTTTATGAAAGTAGCAACACAACCAAAGAGTCATTCTTATTTTTTAAAGTGACTTGTTCTTTTGCTTTTCAGCAAAACTATTCATTAGTATTTCAGTTTAAAATATATCTTAAACTTGGGAGTTTTCGTGTGTGTGTGTGTGTGTGTGTGTGTGTGTGTGTGTGTGTGTACTTTCTTGTTTTAGGCAAGTGCTTTGTCACTGAGCAGTATCACCAACTGAACTTGCATTTTTAGCCTTCCTCCCCCCATTGAGGACTACAGTGAGGACTGGCTTGGTGTGTTAAAAATGGCATCTGGCATGGTGGAAACAGCACAAGCATTGCTTTTCACCTCTTGTTATGCATCCAGCTTCTCAAACCCTCTATCCCTCCTAATATGTGCATATAATGAAACAATGCCAGCGTTTTCCTAGTCATCTAGATTTGAACCATTTTTTCTTTGTTGTGAGTGAAGGCCTTCTCTTATTTCTCTTCTAATTACTACCTCTCTCCAGAAAAACAGCTATCCTGATTTTTATTGGTCAGTGTTTCTTGCGAGTCTACTATATCTGGGGGGAATAGAAGTGGATTCATTTTAGTCTGAGTAATTCAGAGAGTTTTATTATTACTCACTAGGATGAGGATGATTCAGAAGGCCCCAGGCTTCAGGGTAGAACATTAAGCTGCTTTGGGCATCTGAACTTGAGATGCCTAATCAGACAGTCAAGGGAAGAGTTGGACAGATGTGCATGGATTTTAGAAGAGGGACTGAGGATAGGAGTATGGATCTGGGCACCAGCAGCAAACAGATGGCGGGATAAGCCACACCAGGAGAAAGCCAGTTAGGGACAGAGACACCTCCAGAGGCTCTTTTATTGTATAGGATTGTTTTTGCTATTCTGGTTTTTTGTTTGTTTGTTTGTTTTTCCATATAAAGTTTCGAATTGTTCTTTCAAGGTCTGTAAAGAACTGTGTTGGAATTCTGATGGAGATTGCATTGAATCTGTGGATTGCTTTTATTGAGGCCATTTTTACTATGTTAATCCTACTGATCCACAAGCATGGGACATCTTTCCATAATCTGATATCTTCTTCAGTTTCTTTCTTCAGAGCCTTGAAGTTCTTGTCATAAAAGTCTCTGACTTGCTTGGTTAAACTTACACCAAGATAATTTATATTATTTGCAGCTATTGTGAAGGGTGTAATTTCTTTCTCAGCCTGTTTGTCACTCTACAAGAAGACACAACAGAGCCAACTAACCAGGGCCCAGAGGGGCTTGCAGAGACCCAAGCACCAACCAAGGACCATGCATAAACTGGACCCAGCCCCCCTACAGAGATGTAGCAGATGGCCAACTCAAGCTTCATGTGGGTCCCCTAGTAAGGGGAGTGCGGGCAATCTCTGACATAGACTCAGTTGCCGGCTTTCTTATCACTTCCTCTTAGTAGGGTGGCCTTGCCAGGCCACAGGGGTAGAGGATGCACTCAGCCCAGATTCGACTTAATGAACATGGATGGGTGGGTAGGGTGGCTCCCCTTTTCTGAGGAATAGGGGAGAGGGGAGAGAGGAAGAGGAAGAGAGGAAGGGACCAGGAGAAGAGGCGGGAGGGCGCTATGATCAGGACACAAAGTGAACAAATAAACTGAAATAAAAAAGTTCAGTTAGAGAGAAGACAAAAATGAGATAGCTTTGGAGTCCTTGAATGATTATAGATGGGAAAGAGGGCAAGCCAGTGACCTAGAGGGAGTTGCTGGCAAGGTAGGGGTATCTCTTCCTTGTACCCACCAGTCAGACTGGGAAAAGCAATTCTAGAAAGATAAGCGGTTGGTATTCTTACACACTGCTGGGAAGTGAAAGGAGAGATGACCTGGAAATGGACAACTGAATTAGAATGTTGGGAGCTCAGAGTGGGCGTGGGGCAGAATGGCAGGTAAGAAAACAGAAGTGGATGTGTGGTACAGTGTTGCTTATGTCCAGGTGAATTTGGGCAACTGCCAGAGACATCAGGTGACAGCTGGGGACACCAGGTGACAGCTGGGGAAGCCATGCTGTTGGCTGGTGGTTTTGGGAATGCCGTTTTTGTTTGTACACATCTCCTTTCTCTCCCATCTTTTCTGCTTAAGACCACCTCCCAGGCCACATCTGGCCTGGTTTAGTTATAGCTAGTTCCTACCGGGCAGTCCCTTCAACTTGCAGCCTCCTCTGCTCTGCAGCACATAGCACTGTGAGTCATTCTTACACCATGCCGTCATGCTTCCTTTGCTTCAGAACTTGTCAGCCTTGCCTGCTGGCCCACTACTTTTCTGTCTACCACGCTGTGCAGGAAACAAGTCTTTAGGTCCTATTCTAAGGGTTCTCGATGGGAATTTCTTGTTTTTTTTTTGTTTTTTGTTTTTTTTTTTCATAGGCGGTGGTGGAGCTCCTGTCAAGGAAGCCAGACAATCTGATAAGAAGTGTAAAAATGGTCACTTAGAGCTGGTGTGGTGCTGAATGCCTGTAACCCAGCCTTTGGGAAAATGAGGCAGGAGAATTGCAAATTGGGGGTCAACTTGAAATACAGAGAAAGTTCCAGGCTAGCCTGGGCTAAATAGTGAGACTCCATAGTAAATAGACAAAGCCTTTGAACAGGAAGGACCTTCTAGATGACGCTGTAATGCCGACCCATGAGTCCTGTGATTATTAACACCATTTTTTTCATTTTCCTACTTCATAGTGTTTAGCATGTAATTGTATCTTGTTCTCCAAGATTTTAAAAAGAGAATTTAAGAAGAGAACAATTCGATCTTCCTTGCCTTGAATACACTTTTGTGTCTATTATAGCATCTCGTACCCACCATTTTGTCTGGGTGCTTGTGCCCTTGATATCAGGAATGACTTGCAAGCCAACATCTTTCTCAACTTGTGTGAGGACATAATTTTTATCTTCATAGGAAGGACACTCTGTGTAGGCATCTTTTATTCTGGAAGCATTTTGGTCGTGAAAAAACACGGGTGCGCCAAACTCACTTCGTTTTCTGGAGATCATGTACGTCACCTGCAACACACGTAAGCAGCGAAGGGAGCCCAGTGAAACCCATGGAGGGAAACACCCGAGCGGCGCAGTGTTGGCATGGCCAGACCCTCTCCGTTCCCTGTGGGCCCCTGCTGTCTTTCTCTAGCTCTGTGTGGCTTTTGTTCCCACAGCCTGTAGCCGCTCTTCCTCAGGGAGGCCATGTTCGCCATGACTGAGGCCTTTTTGCTTGTAAGCAAGAAGGACAAGGAGAGACCAGGAGTGCACATCCTGACGGGTGGTAGGTTGGTCGGAGGCCCATGGAAGTCTACCTTCTATTTGGGAGAACCCTGAGCACAATTTGTATTCCTCAGTTCCTCTGTGGACTCAGGACAAAGCCTTCTGCCTAGACCCCCTCTTGGAGGGCTCCCTTCCTTGCTGTCCAGCGCCTTCCTCAGTCATTTGCCAAGGAGTTGCTCCGGAATGGAACAGCACTGTATTCACTTTCTACTGATCCCAGAACCAACTACCACGACTGAGGTGGCTTAAAACTCGGGATTCCATTCTGACAGCCATGGAGGTGAAACAAATGGAATTGTGTGGAGGACCCTTGCTGAGGGGCAATGGGCAGCTACACCTTGGCTCTTTCCCACACCTCGTGCCAGCTAGCAGTTTTTTTCTGAGCATCAATGTGCTGCCCCTCAGTTCTCTATAGTCTTCAAGCAAGCATGTATGCTGGGGATTGAACCCAGGGCCTTGAGGGCTAAAGACCCAGTCTCCTTCAGACGGCATCCTTTGTGATCAGCTTATCATAAGAACACTGACAAAAGCAGATTAGGGGCCTATTCTATTTGTGAATAAAATAGTCACAAATATTATATAATATTATATATAATATATTATTACATATAGTATGTATAATATAATTAGAGCTAATTATATTTGCACAGACCTTCTTCCCCTGTACCAGTAGTGTCACACTCTGGTGTTCTAGGGGTCAAAACACTTTAAGATATTCTTTTTGGGAGGACAGAGTCAATCCATAATACCTGTTAAAGAAAGAGACCGTTCTACTAAAAAAAGAAGAAGAAGAAGAAGAAGAAGAAGAAGAAGAAGAAGAAGAAGAA